GGGTACAGTGGCAAGAAGGAAGCCTTTTCTTACAAAGAAAAACATCCAAGCCTGGCTAAATTTTGCAAAAACACACCTGAAGTCTCCCAAAAGCATGTGGGAAAATGCATTCTGGTCTGATGAAACCAAGGTTGAACGTTTTGGCCATAATTACAAAAGATATGTTTGGTGCAAAAACAACACTGCACATCACCAAAAGAACACCATACCCACAGTGAAGTATGGTGGCAGCATTATGCTTTGGGGCTGTTTTTCTTCAGCTGGAACTGGGGCCTTAGTCAAGGTAGAGGAAATTATGAACAGTTCCGAATTCCAGTCAATATTGGCACAAACCCTTTAGGCTTCTGCTACAAAGCTGAACATGAAAAGGAACTTCATCTTTCAGCATGACAACAACCCAAAGCATACATCCAAATCAAAGAAGGAATGGCTTCACCAGAAGAAGATTAAAGTTTTGCAATGGCCCAGCCAGAGCTCAGACCTGAATCCGATCGAAAATCTGTGGGGTGGTCTGAAGAGGGCTGTGCACAGGAGATGCCCTCACAATCTGATAGATTTGGAGTGTTTTTGCAAGGAAGAGTCAAGATGTGCCATGCTGATAGACGCCTACTCAAAAAGACTGAGTGCTGTAATAAAATCCAAAGGTGTTTCGATAAAGTATTAGTTTAAGGGTGTGCACTCTTAGGCAACCGTATTTTAGTTCTTAATTTTTACTTCCCTCCACCTAAAATTTCAGTTGTACAGTTTATAGATTACTACAAATGTGGAAAAAGTGCTGAAATGATCTTTTGTTTTTTTTTTTTTTTTCTTTTTTCTTACATCACAGAAACCTGACCTTTTTAACAAGGGTGTGTAGACTTTTTGTATCCACTGTAATATAATGGATATGGGCTGAAAGTGCGCAAACTCAGGTTTAATTTGATTTGTACATCCAAATTGGAGGAAGGGTTTAGGAGTTACTGCTCTTAAGATTAGCCATCCCTTTTTCAAGGAACCAAAAGTAATTGGACAATTGAATCAAAAGCTGTTTCATGGCCAGGTGTGATCTACTCCTTCGTTATTTCTTCATAAATTAAGCAGTTAAAAAGTCTGGAGTTGATTCTAAGTGTGGTATTTGCATTTTGGAATTTATTGCTTTGAATCTACATCATGCTTTCAAAGGAGCTGTCCATGCAACTGAAACAGGCCATTGTAAGGCATCAGAAATAAAACCGATCCATCAGAGAGATAGCAACATTAGGAGTGGCCAAATCAACAGTTTGGTACATTCTGAGGAAAAAAAGAACACACTGGTGAGCTCAGCAACATAAAAAGGCATAGACGTCCACGGATGACAACAGTGGTGGATGATCGCAGGATCCTCTCTATGGTAAAGAAAAACCCATTCACAACATCCAGACAAGTGAAGGACACTCTCCAGGAGGTGGGCATATCATTGTCCGTCTACAATCGAGAGAAGACTTCATGAGAGTAAATAGGGTTTACCACAAGGTGCAAACCATTCTTAAGCCTGAAGAATAGAAAAGCCAGAGTAGATGGGCAATGTTCCAAAACACACTGCAATCACCTGATCTCAACCCAATTGAGCATGAAATTCACTTGCTGAAGGCAGAAAGACCCATAAAACAACTGAAGACAGCTGCAGTTAGAGCCTGGCAAAGCATCAGAAAGGAGGAAACCCAGTCTTTGGTAATGTCCATGGGTTCCAGACTTCAGGCAGTCATTGCCAGTAAAGGACTCTCAACAGAATATGAAAAATTAACATTTTATTTGATTATATTTGTCCAATTACATTTTTAGCCCCTGAAAATGGAGGGACTGTATAAAAAATGGTTGCAGTTCCTAAAATTTGTACTTGACATTTACAGTCAGGTCCATAAATATTGGGACATCGACACAATTCTAACGTTTTTGGCTCTATACACCACCACAATGGATTTAAAATGAAACAAACAAGATGTGCTTAGCAAGTGGGAGGCACATATGCAAACTGTTGTAATTCCTACACCAATCACCTGATTTGGATGTAAATACCCTCAAATTAAAGCTGACAGTCTGCAGTTAAAGCACATCGTGTTTGTTTCATTTCAAATCCATTGTGGTGGTGTATAGAGCCAAAAATGTTAGAATTGTGTCGATGTACAATATTTATGGACCTGACTGTATGTTCAACCCCTTGAATTAAATGCACTTCAGATTCATTTGGATTGTTTCATTTTAATTTATTCTGGTGGCATACAGAGCCAAAAGTATGAACATTGTGCAATTGTGTCCAAATATATATGGACCGAACTGTATATACCATTGTTTGTAGATGCTATAACTTTCACAAAAACTAATTCATATACATACATTGGGATTTATTTTTGTTGTGTTTTTTATTTATTTATTTATTTTTCTATCAGACGTAGCGCAGGGCTTGAAAAAGCCGCTCGCCAAATGCGAGGGGAAATCCTTGTGTGGCGAGCACAGATGGAGCGGCTCCACCTGCACTCCAAGCCTCATTGTGAAGCCGAGTTCCAGTTTTCGGCTTCTTCTTCGGCACTGCCATTATACTGAGGGGACAGGTACAGGAGAGGTCCTCTCTCCTCCGCTGAGAGGAGAGGTCCGCTCTCCGCTGCCGCGGGGGGACTCGAGATGTCTGCTCTCCCCTGCCGCGGGGGACCCGAGACATTATTATATCTTTTATATATAATTATATATAAGAGACATAATATACCTAATATCTAATTATATAGAAGGATCTAAAAGAAACATTAATATATACTTATCTAATTATATATAAAAGACATATCATACCTAATAATTCTATACAAGGATATAAAAGAAACATAATATATATAATTCTGTAAACTAAACTTACATCTTTTAAAAGAGACTTTTTAGTTACTATAGTCTTTTTAAAGATGCAGGAGGTAAACAAAAAAAAAATACAAAATGTTTACTACAGGTTTAAAGCTGTAAAACTTGATATTTTGATTGCTCCCTATTGCTATTAAGCTATTGCTGTTATCTTTAAATTAACATAAAGCTATGTTATAATTGCAGTTTTTTTATATTTTGGACTCTTTATTCTAAAGAAAAATGTAATTTCATAAGCTTTAAGGGGGTGTGGTTGGGGGCTGGGGATGGGGTTGGAGGCAGACCTGGGCAAAGTTGGGTGGGGCAACTGGTGGAGAGTAAGGTTTGTCCCTGGCTAGTAGGTCTAGACTCAAATTTTTAAGCACTGATGTAGCAAAATACATTTTGGCCTATATTTATGACTAACTTTGAGTTTAGTATATATTTTTTATGACCGAAAATTAAAAAAATGTTTTATACAATTTTTTTTTCTATCTTTTTCCATTTATATCACAAAAAATAAACTAATTGATCAAATACCACCAAAGGAAATCTCTATTTATGTGAAAAAAGGACATACATTTTGTTTGGGTACAGTGTTGAATGACTGCGCAATTACTAGTTGAAATAGCACAGTGCCGAATAGTAAAAAATCGCCTGGTAAATCTTCCAAAGGTGACTTGATTCAAATATCACAATGCCCCTCAAAACAAAGCCAGATTTAATGCGCTTTGTTTTTTAAAAGATTTTATTAAACTATAAAATGCAGCCAATTCAGGTGAATTCAACATCTGACCTATATGGTGCATATCAGCTTCCCTGGAGGTCGGGAACAGCTAGCTCAAATTCCAATAGACACCGCTGCAAAGCAGCTGGTTGTGATGTCACTTTGTAACTTCACTCTTACGGGTTACATCCCTGGGAGGGGAGACTATTTAGATGTGAACCAATATTCTTTGGGATGGAACGTTATGCAGTTTGTGTTTTTTTCATGTCTCCTAGTCTCCTTCAGGATACACACTGTGGTTTACTCAGTGATATACTGGGGTTGATTTTCTAAAAATGAGTGCAAAATCTGGTGCAACTGTGCATAAGTAGCCAATCTGCTACTAACGTCTGCTTGTTCAGTTAGGTGTTGACAAAAAAACATGGATGCTGATTGGTTTTTATGCAGAGCTGCATCAGATTTTGCAGTCATCCATTTTAGTAAATCAGCCCCATGGTCTAGTTTGTCTTCTGATGAAGCAGGTTAAGTAAATTTGTAAAATTCCTCCGGAACCTACCACTAGGCATCTATGGAGCATCATACTGACTTTTCAGTTGTGTAAACTGTAGTAATAGTTGGGAAAGGGTAGCTAATCACATTTGGGTGTATTGTATATGTAAAAATTTATAATTTATGCCTGTTCGGGGTAGGATTCTATATATTTTGCCTTCTCATTTTTTAAAGCACGTGTTTAAGGGGCGTATCCCAGCAAGAAAGGGAAGAGGGAGAAAAATGCCCACATGGCGGTGTAGGTGACATTCTTTTAGAACCAAAGCTAAGTTGCCTCCATATCCCCAATTGGTGACAGTACAGTAAAAAGAGTAATCACAGACTGAGATCATCTCCCTGTTCTCTCCTAATGTCAGCAGATTCATTGTTCGCATATGTGCATGCAGGACACCTGTAGTCCAGTCCATTGCAAGCTTGAACTATTTACAATAGATGTATTTAAATATAAATGCAATGACTTTTAATGAATACATAATTGTAGAACTCCCTGCTTCTAAGCAGCCAGTGCTGAAATTTATTGTGTTGGGGACACAGAAAAATGATTGCCACACCTACAGGTCATTTGATGGTGCTCAAGCTTAGCGATTGGCTGCTAGGGCAGGGCACCATCACAGAGAAACAAGTCGGATTTCTCCCTCCTATCCAGAGTTGTGTATTCTCATTCAGCTGTAGAAGAGCAAGGAGCTGCAAAAGGAGTACAGGCAAACTGCATATAAGGGTGTGGGGGATTGCCTTGGCAGAGAGGCTGCCACTTAATCAATGGGTGTCCTAATTCTGTCATGACAAGTTTGCTTTTCGATTCTGTTATTTCCTTTTAATGCAGCTTTTGTGTTTTTTTTTGTTTTTTTTTTCATGGCAGCATATCACTTCCTGTACCAAAGAAATGGTGATGGAGAAGCCAAGTCCCCTGCTTGTAGGGCGGGAATTCGTCAGGCAGTACTATACTCTGCTGAATAAAGCTCCAGACTTTTTGCACAGGTACAGCTTGCTGTTTTCATGTGTTTTGGAAGTAGTAAATATGTAGCAAAAAGCAAAGTTGAACAAGGACTTGCTTTTCTGATATGTGCTATAATCTCTCAACAAATAAGCGCTATCTTTTGTAAAAAAAATAGACTGATTCAGAAAGGATGCAAATATAGGTGTTCTGTCATGACTTGTCTGAAGGTTTTCATTTATGTACATCGTTAACACTTTTTCAGCCGAAATTCCCTTTTCTATTAGCCAGACAACATGGCTAAAACCTTTTATCCATGAGCACACCAGTTGGCCATTGAGTGCAACTGTAAATTGATTTTACCGCGAAGTGGGGGGTTGTATTTATACCTTTTTGTGAACTGCATGTTTTTTGAACTGCATGCTTTCTACTAGTATTGACAAAGTCCTTTGTACAGAAATTATGCTGTGCATTTACAGTAATGTTCAGCCCAAATTTGATAGCACAACCAAAAGGCTGAAAAGAGCCTCCCACCAGTAGCTTGTTGACACGGTAAAAATGTAGTAGGTTGCTTTGATCTGTAAACACAAACCCTTTACACGCTGTACAGTTATGCTATACAATGAGTTTGTCTCAGAACCTGATCTGCTACGTTGGGGTTCATTTGGGGTACCCTTGCTTCTAACGAAGAATTTGTATACCCTGTGTGTTACGGTCTGCCATTTTTGTGTGAATTTGGATGCACGGAGTGACGGAGTGGACCAAGATGGCCGCAATTTGCTCTAGCTCCGCTCACCCCGGTCGCTTTGCCTCCTCTCCCTCCATCTAGAAGGAGCCCATTGAGTCCCGCTGGTCTCTGCGGGTATCGGAGTGTGTGTGGGTGTATCGGAGTGTGTGTGGGTGTAAACGGTGGCCGTGGCTCCTCCGGATGGGGTCCGGTTCAAGCAGCAGGCTGGCTCCCTTCCAAGATGGCGTCGGGCCCCCCTGCAGAGGAGACCACAAGGCAGTCATTAGACTCGGAGGATACAGTTGACAGCTCTTTACAGTTCCCCTCTGCCCTGCAGCCATCCCACATGGCTCGAGATTCGGTTTTGTTGGGTAAGATTCGAGGGATTGTTCGGGAGGAACTTGGGAGATCTCCCGCAAATTATCAGCAGATTTACTCAAAGAACTTAGAAATGTGGGTGAGAGGGCTGCTCTTCTAGAACACAGAATGGATGATGTTACTACAGTTCTGGATGGCCATGAGGATGATATAGAAAGTCTACAGGCAGAATTACACTCTTAAGAATCAACTGGAAGAGGCGGAGAATAGAGCTTGTCGCAGTAATACTTGTATTAGGGGCCTGCCTGAGACTTGCAGATCTTCATGGCTAGGTGTTAACCTTATTGCAAGAACTGATCCCTTATGTTCCGGTGGATCGTTTGGCGATAGAATACATATAGAGCCTTAGGCCACAGACCACCTGAAAAGCCCTCCTCGGAACATGATCTTGAAATTTCATTCTAAAATGATGGAACAGGTGATGCCATTTGCGATGGTCATTTGCGATGGTCTCGACAGACGTTGTATGCGAATGGCAACAAAATAGGGACAATGTTAGCTAATAAGTTACGATCGTTTGCCCCCTCAACATCATCATACTCTGAAGACTAGGAAGTGTCTGAGAACCTCTAATCCCAGGCATATAGTGGATGAGTTTTCTCCTCTTTCGAAACTTTATGCTGGCTCAGGGAATGCCCCAGCTGATGTCACGGACACGTTCCTTCGGGAGACTCCTTTACCCTATATGAGATGATCAAAGGGACATGCTGGGCGCTGATATTACACAGGACGAGCTTCGGCAGACGATTCAATCTTTGAAGATGCATAAGCGTGCTGGCCCAGATGGTTTTACGGCTCTCTTCTAAAAAAAATTTAGTGATGTTGTAGTTCCTGTTTTGGCCCCAGGTGTTCAATCTGCTTAAGCGGGATGGTCAGCTGACTTCGGCTATAGGCCCAGATTGTGATGATTCCTAAACCAGGGAAGGATCAACAATCATGGTCGAATCATCGCCCTATTTCTCTGCTGAATGTGGATGTGAAAATTCTGACAAACTCTGGCCAATAGATTGAATGTGTTAATCCCTACCTTAATTGATAAGGATCAAGTGGGTTTCGTGCTTCGGTGCCGATAGCATTCAACGCTCTATTTTAGACATTTTCGCTCGAATGCAGTCCAGTGATCTTATGTTTCTGTCCTTGGATATGACTAAAGCCTTAGATACTCTCTTTCCTGGACTTATTTTAGGGCCTTGCAGAAGTGGGGTGTGGGAAAATGATTTTCTTCAGTGGATTTATTGACTTTAAAGTATCCCTTCTGCTACGGTCTGTTATCATGGGGTTGAATCCTCCTGGTTTCCAATTAAAGGTGGTATGCGTCAGGGTTGTCCCCGTCTCCTTTTCTTTTTATCATGGCCGTTGAACCCCTTGCTGTTCACATTTGGCTTCATCCAGACATTTTGGGTCTTGAGTTGGCGGGATTACATCATAAGATTGCCCTTTTGACCAAGGACAAATGTGGGTCCTTGGTCAATATCCCACTGCGTAGATTGTAGGGGCCTAAAAAGCACCAAGGGGAGGTAGGGGTCAGCAATGGGACCCTCAGTGAAAACCACTATCACCCAGACTCCATCCCCCTCCCCCCCCTCCTTCCCTATTGCTGTCAACATAGTATAGTACCGGTGGATTATATAAAAAAAAAAAAAAAAAAAAAGACAGTGAGGAAAATAATTATTTGATCTCCTGCAGATTTTGTACGTTTGCCCACTTAGAAATGAAGGGTCTATAATTTATCATGGGTGTATTTCAACCAAAAATCCAGAAAAAACACCTGATACAAATGTATGTTGTGAGTTGCAGTTTCGTGATTAAAATAAGTTTTTTTGATCCTCCAGCAAAACATGACTAGGTACTTGGTGGTGAAACTGTTGTTGGCAACACACAGAGGTAAGACATTTCTTGATGTAGGTTACCAGGTTTGCACACATCTCAGGAGAGATTTTGGTTTTCTCTTCTTTACACATCTTCTCTAAATCCATAAGGTTTCTTGGCTGTCGCTTGGCAGTGCGAAGTTTCAGCTCCCTCCATAAATTTTCTATAGGATTAAGGTCAGGAGACTGGCTAGGCCAGTGGTCGGCAAGCCGTGGCTCGCGAGCCACATGCGGCTCTTTACAAACTTAAATGCGGCTCTTCTGTGTGCCGGGCGCCCGCTCCCCTCCCTCCTCTCGGGCGGCCGCCCGCTCCCCTCCCTCCTCTCGGGTGGCTGCCCCCTCCCCTCCCTCCTCTCGGGCGGCCGCCCCAAAAGTCAGGACTCTGCAGCTGTCAGGATGTAGGCGGGGAAGCCAGGATGTAGGCGGGGCAGCGTGACGAACTCCTCTCTCACAGTCCGCCCTGAAGACCAGAACGGCGCGGGAACACGGCAAGAGGAACGCGCGGAGCAAAGGTAAGTGAATTGACACAGGGGGGACTTACTATATGGGGGATGAATTACTATATGGGGGATGAATTACTATATGGGGGATGAATTACTATGGGGGATGAATTACTATATGTGAGATGTATTTTCAGTTTTAAAAATGTGGCTCTCAAAATAAATTTCAATCGTGGTTTTTGCAAGATTTGGCTCAGTTGAAAAAAAAGGTTGCCCACCACTGGGCTAGGCCACTCCATGACCTTTATTGTGCTTCTTGAGCCACTCCTTTTGTTGCTTTGGTATGTTTTGGGTCATTGTCATGCTGGAAGACCCATCCACTAACAATTCTTAGTGTTCTGGCTGAGGAAAGAAGGTTCTCCAAAATTTGTACAATACATGGCCCCATCCATTGGCCCCTCACTGTGGCAAAGTCGGCCTATAGCAGAGAAACTGCCCCAAAGCATAATGTTTCCACCTCTGCTTGACTGTAGGGATGGTGTTCTTAAGTGTCACAGTCAGCATTTTTCTTCCTCCAAACACAGCCTTTAGTTGTGGGCTGATCCCTCACTTTTCTCATGAGCATCCTTACCCCATGAAACGAAATCCCTCATGGAGCTCTAGACTGAGGGCAATCACTTCCCAACCCATACCCTTAAATGACAATGATACAAAAAGCCAAACCGTGGTTCTTGTAAACATGAACATAATACATAGGCTTGTGGGTGTTTCTACAATCAAGTCACGTACGTAACCAAGAGAGATGCTCTTCAAGGGAATCGCCTCTATTGCATAATAGCATATTTAGGAGCACACCAGAAACTACTACTGGCATGCTAGTCACCCCCATACTTGAAAAGGCCTCGCTGGACCCCACCAATCTTGGCAAACTAAGACCATCTCCTTACTCCCTTTTTGCCTTGAACAACTGGCTGAGCTGCCACCTTATTGAGAATAACCACCTTGATCACCTTCAGTCTGGATTTTGCCCACAACACTCCACAGAAACTGTTCTAGTAAAACTCACAAACTACTAACTGCCAAAACCAATGGTCACTATTCCGTACTCTCACTCTTGGACCTCTCCACTGCCTTTGACACAGTTGACCACCTCCAAAAAAAACCCCAAAAAAACCCATTTTACTTGGTCTCCGTGACAGTGTCACTTACAACTCTACTTCTTCCTCCTCCTATTCCTCTTACTATCGGGGGTCCCCCAAGGTTCTGTCTTTTTCACCTCTTATTCTCAATCTATACTTCTTTGGGTCAGCTGATAGCTTCCCATGGTTTCCAATACCGTTTCTATGCTGATGACACTCAAATCTATCTCTCTACTCCTCAGCTCACCCCATCAGTTTCCTCACGTACATATCAGACTGGATGTCACACCACTTCCTAAAACTCAATCTATCCAAAACTGAGCTCATAATATTTCCTCCCGTGTGCCTCTTCCCCTGATTTCTTGGTCAGGATTAATAGCACCACAATCATGCATCCCTGCATGCCAGGTTTCTAGGGGTAACCCTGGATTCTGAACTATCCTTTCAGGCCCACATCCAATCCCTGTCCAAATCGTGCTGCCTCAACCTCTGCAACATCTTCAGAATACACCCCATTTTAACCAATGATACCACAAAGCTCCTAATTTACTCCCTGGTTATCTCTTGCTTTGACTACTTCAACTCCCTCCTCCATTGACTTACCTTTACATAGGGTATCCACCCCTCCAGTCTATCATGGTTACTGCTGCCAGGCTCATTCCACCTTACCAACCGTTCAGTGTCTGCTACCCCTCTCTGCCAATCCCTCCACTGGCTTCCACTCGCCCAACGAATAAAATTCAAAGTACTAACAACTTGCAAAGCCATCCACAACTCTGCCCCCAGCTACATCACCAACCTGGTCTCAAAATATCAACCAAACCGCTCTTTGATCCTCCGAAGACCTTCTTTTCTCTAGTTACCATGTCCCCTCCTCCCATGCTCACCTCGAGGACTTCTTACGAGCTTCTCCCATCCTATGGAACCTCCTACCCCAATCTGGCTATCTCCTAATCTATCCTCTTTGTAGACGATACCTGAAAACCTTTCTCTTTTAAAGACGCCTACCCTGCTTCTACCTAGTAAAGTGCCATTTATTTCCTCCATCAGCTCCTCAACCCCCCCCCCCCCCCCCCCCCACCAGCTATTACCTTTTTTGTATCACTCAACCCTTCCTCTTAGATTGTAAGCTGTAACGAGCAGGGCCCTCTGTTTCCTCTTATACCAAATAGTATTGTAACTGTAATGTCTACCTTCATTTTGTAAAGCGCTGCACAAACTGTTGGTGCTATAGAAATCCTGAATAATAATAATAATGCGAAAACCAATGATTGTGTATACAGATGTATGAGATGGCGGTCTCCAAACACATATGATAGTCTTACGTCTTATGCTCCTTCTGTAGTTGATAAGAGCATAAGTAGGACTGTAGCTTCTTTTGGGTCTCAAGCTTCACGCGATGCGATTTGCCACAATTGTGCGATTATTTTTTTTTTTCTCCTGCACTGCAACTTGCATCATGTTAAGTTTGTTAAATGAAAAAGTGTATATGCAGCGCACAAATAATGCACTAATATACTAGTGTTATAAGTAGATGTATACCATAAACATGTATCATTTGTGTGTAGTAAACAGATATCCTTCAATAAATGCCAAATATAAATACAAAAACGTGCAAATCCTTGTGTCATAGGTGACAAATGCATGTACCCAAACGTGCATTGAAATTATCCAAAATTAAAACTGTCCATCAAAAAAATTAACATTAAGTTCCAAATTCATCATAAATCACTCATACATCTACGTGGTAAACTTGCTGTGTGCTGTGTTTTGAAATTAACCATACGCCATTAAACAGGTTTTTATAGTGAATTGTGCCTGTAATACTGCCGTGCTTCATGTGATATTCAAATCCAGCCGAAGTGCAGTAATGTCCCTCTTCAGTGTCCACACACCTTAATGTCTGACACTTATCCCAGGTCAAACTGCATTTTTCCCTTTTTTGTCCGGGTAGGTAAATAGATGTAACTGCTCTACCACCGTCTGCTTACTATCAGGTGTATTACTGCTCTTCCAACGTCAGCTTACGATCTTCTCCAACTCCACTCCATACATATGAAAAAGATACTCATCGTAGTATTGCACATAAAATAACTTTTATTAAAATACAAAAATTTCCACTCAGATTTGATAGTGTCCAACTGGGACACTGCAGGATAAATTTGTGTGTTCGAATGCTGGTTTCCTATACCAAGATGGCGGCCCATGTGCTTCCTGTATTGCGGCTTGACGTCCCCAGCGTACTCTACGCATTACGTCACATGTTGTGACTTCATCAGTTGCCCAAAAAGGAGTGGGAGCTTCTTTTAGGCGGCGCGCTTCACTTGATTTGCTGCATGACAATTGCGGCAAAACTGCACCATGCTTTAGGTGCCATTGAAAATAATGGCACCTGAACCTGCATTGTGCGATTCCAAAACACCCAGGTGTGAATGGAGCCGCCCTGGTTCACACACGTGATTTCTGGATGCGTTTTTCAAATACACAGATTCACATGACAGGCTAGATATGTGTTCCTTTTGAGTTGATCCTCACGCATTGCGTTTTAAGTACCATTACGAAAAGGGTCCTGTGCGAGTTTGTAGAGGTGCATTCCAGTGATAAGAGTGGCATGCGTAGATAAGTGTTCACATGGGATTGCTATTGACAGGAATTTTTGCATTGAAGTCAGTGGGAGGCCATATTGCATTGAAGTCAGTGGGAGGCAGTTGTGGAAAGAGAGAGAGCTGGCCACATCATACCTGTATTGAAATGGAAGCATTGCAATTTCAGCACACGTGAACCAAGGCTAAAGAGGCTGCTTGCCCACAGCAGGGCTAACTAAAAAAAAAAAAAAAAACCCACCTGTCTGGCACCTGGGATTGCATGTCCCAGGCATTGGGCAAGTATGATTTGCGCATAAAATATTTTATATTTAAAATTTTGCGACAACGTCTGGGCATGCTCCTAATGAGATGACGGATGGTGTGCTGGTGTATTTCCAGATCTGGACCAGCGCATTACTGAGCTCCTTGAGAGTCTGAGGTGCAATCTGGTGCCGTCAGGTGGACCGAAACATGATATCCCAGAGGTGTTCTATTGGATTTAGGTCAGACTAGCGTGGGGGCCATTCAGTGGTATCAATTCCTTCATACTCTTGCCACATGAGGCCGGGCATTGTCGTGCAGCAGGAGGAACCCAGGACCCACTGCACCACTGTAGGGTCTGACAATGGATCCAAGGATTTCATCCCGATACCTAATGGCAGTCAGGGTGCCATTGTCTAGCCTGTAGAGGTCTGTGCGTTCCTCCGTGGATATACCGCCTCAGACCATCACTGACCCACCACCAAAATGGTCATGCTGAATGATGTTTCCAGCAGCATAACATTCTCCACGGCTTCTCCAGACCCTTTCAAGTCTGTCACATGTGCTCAGGGTGAACCTGCTCTCATCTGTGAAAAGTACAGGGTGCCAGTGGCTGACCTATTTTTGGTGTTCAGTGGCAAATGTCAATCGAGCTCCATGGTGCCAGGCAGTGACCACTGGGCCCACTAGAGGACGCTGGGCCCTCCGGCCACCCTCATGAAGTCTGTTTCTGATTGTTTGGTCAGAGACATTCACACCAGTGGCCTGTTGGTCATTTTTTAGGGCTCTGGCAGTGCTCATCCTGTTCTTCCTTGCACAAAGGAGTGGATACCGGGTCTGCTGTTGGGTTAAGGACCTTCTACGACCCTGTCCAGCTCTCCTTGAGTAACTGCTTAACTTCTGGAATCTCCTCCATGCTCTTGAGACTGTGCTGGGTGTCACAGCAAATCTTCTGGCAATGGCAACCCTCTCCCCAAAAGCTCCATTTCACAAACAGGGAGAGAGGATGCATTTTAAAGCAGAACTTCCCCTTTTTGGGTGGAGCCTTGTTTTTTTTTTTTTTTTTTTTTTAATCACCACTGGGTTTTTTTTTTTTCGCTAAACAAAGACCAACCATTTTGAAAAGAATGATTTTTCTTAGGTTCTGTTAGGAAATTTTCCAAAAGTAATTTTTCACTGATGGGGTGGCACTGATTTATCAGGGCACTGATGATCAGTGTAAATGTGCTTGTCAGAAAACCGGCAAGTCTGTTTAAAATGTGATTGGACTGTACCACCCTAATAGATTATTTCTTACTTGTACTTGTGTTGGCCTGGAAGATGATTGGAGAGAAAAGGTAAATTGTATCTCTGTTTCCAGAAATCATCCAGGACAGCAAAGATTCCTACATTTTTTTATTTTTTTTTTTACATATTCCATTAGTTTTTAGTTTTTGCTACTACGGTGATTGGTGACTGCTCTTTTTATTTATTGTAGATTATAGGTTTCCTGTTTTTAGACCCTGTCGTGCTATTCTGGAAGATTTGTGGAAATTTTATTTACCAGGTAACAAACACTGTTTTACTTTGTTCTGGCCCCAGAGTTGCATGCATCAAATCTATACACGTGGGTTTTTTTGTTTTGTTTTTATAGCTCGTATGACTTTTTTTTTTTTTAAAGGTTTTATGGAAGAAATTCTTCCTATGTGCATGGAGGATTGGATGCCAGTGGGAAGCCCCAAGAAGCTGTGTATGGACAAGCGGTATGTCTTAAAACAACTGCATTTCTGTTCTTCCTTTTTCCATATTTTGCTTGATATATTCGTTTTCCTGTTTTGTTTTTATAATGGAGAATTTTCCAAACTAGTCTACATGGATCACTAAGGTGAATATAACTGTACATTTGCTAGGAAGCCTGCAAGAAGTCCTTTAACACTTCAAGTAGCGAAAGTGTTCATATTGCAACCCATTTAATTTTCGGCCTTATCTGGACAAATGACGTTTTTGGATTTGACTGGTGTGGCAAACAAATCACAATGTAGGCTTGCCATAGATGTAAGACATTGTGGTTTATTTACTAAAACCGAAGAGTGGAAAATATGATGCAGCTCTGCATAGAAACCAATCTGCTCCCAGGTTTTATTGCCAAAGCTTAATTGAACAAGCTGAAGTTAGAAACTGGCTTTCATGCACAGTTTCACCAGTTTCTGTGTCCACCAGTTTTAGTAAATCCACCCCATTGTTTCACAAACTTGTGAACCATACAAAAATGAATGTTCCATAAACCGTAATGATTGCAGAAATTGATGATTATTGTAAGATGGAACAATAGACAATGGCTGCAAAATTCCAGATTAACTAATCGACTTTGTTGTGTCAGAAGGTAGCGCAAGTGCTTTACGTAAGTAAAAAAAAATTTTGTGTGAAGTTCTTTAAAAGCTTATTACAGTTATTGTAAATGGATGCTTATTTGGGGTGGATTTAACCGCTTCTATGCCAGGCACTTATACCCCCTTCCTGCCCAAGCCAATTTTCAGCTTTCAGCGCGGCCACAACTTTGGTCATGCAACACTGTACACATATGAAATTTTTTTCACACAAATGGCTTTCTTTTTGTAGTATTTCATCACTACTGAGTTTTTTTATTTTTGCTAAATAAAAACAAACACCTGAAACGTTTGGCGGGAAAAAATGCACTTTTCTTTCGTTTGTTATAAAATTTAGCAAATAACATTTCTTCATAAATTTAGGTCAAAATGTATTCTGCTACCTTTTTTTGGTGAAAATAGTTTGTATTTTTTTTTTTTTTTTTCTTCAAATGTTTCTATTTTTTATTACATTTTTCTTTTTTTTTCTACCATTTTCTTTTTCAGCACACTGTGACCAAAGCAATACCATGTTACCATAGTAACATCGAACTACTCTGGTCAAGTGATCAAGGTTTTTTTTTTTTTTTTTTAAATACATTATGATTGCGAATACCAATGTATTTAATTGATATTTGCAATCATTGTTACTGAATGAAACTGATTCATTCAGTCTTTTGTTGTGATTAGCTGTGATTGGGCAAAGCTGATCACATGATACAGATGGGCTGTGAATGTTCCTGTCTGTATCATATGACTGCCTTGACCAGTCACAGCTAACAACATAATTGTATACAATGGATGGCATAACAGGAAGCAAATCCATTGTATACAACTGACGTGATCTGCTGTGATTGGTCACATGACAACGGCAATGAGCTGGTGTAGTGATATTTCATCACAGCCGGTGAGAGATCGCGCCGCTGTGCGTCCCCATGAGCAGCTCGTTTTGACAGGACATCATATGACGCCCAGTCACAACGGCAAGTGTCCTGCCCAGCCGTCAATCTGCTATAGGCTGGGTGGGAAGGTTTTAAGTTATTTTGATCATTGTGTATTTGTAAGGTAGTTTGTGATATTGTATGCATTTTATCTCTGCAGCTTTTAAGCTCTGCTTTTTTTTTTCCTGTTGTCACGTCAAATCAATAGGGCACTTGTCATTAATATTATAGTAAAATCATTTTATTTTTATTTTTTTTTTATTAAAGTCCAACTTTATCGGCCAGTTCAAAAGAAACTGGCCAACCTTAGGCCCATGTGTAGACCAGCCTGTCCAACAGAAGCTGGCCAAATGGGCATGCTGGAAAATGAGCATCTGATCAGTGCTGGCGAACAATGGCTGCGAGCACTTACTGGTGTGTTCTGGAAGAAAGGGGGGCAGTCCCTAAGTCAGAACACAATAGCTTAGCAGGGATATTGCTGTACTAAGATCAGATAGTACAGCAAACTTCCTGAGCTCTTCTGTTTTAACCACAAGATGTTCTCAGTTTTCTGGGTTGAATGACACACAGCGTCATTGAACCAGAAAACCTGACGGCATACTATTATTATTTATTAGTGTATTTTAAGGGGATAACTTTCACATTTATATCTTAAAAACAAAAGTAATTTTCCTTTTAGATTTCTGACTGTAAATGATTTTCTTAAACCCAGGAAATCCACAAGAAGGTGATGTCCCTTCAGTTTAGTGAATGTCGCACAAAGATTCGACACGTCGATGCACATGCTACGCTAAGTGATGGAGTTGTTGTCCAAGTTATGGGTGAACTTTCTAATAATGGCCAACCAATGAGAAAGTTCATGCAAACCTTTGTGCTTGCTCCAGAAGTAAGTAGTTTTCCAATGTTCTATGTTGTTTTACAATCAATCAGACTGGGAAAGCTTTAACACATATATATTTTATTAAAAGATCTTCAAAAGCTTTATTGACAGACTAACTTCTAGAAAGGGGTGGTTGGCAAGCAGTAAGGAGACTCAAGTTCCTCTCTGAATAACAAATATAAACATACAAGGACGAGATCAGGATTTTTCAGGAAATAAAAGTGCAAAGCTCTTTTTATCATCCATCAAGGAACACAGGCATTTTTAGACTGTTGGGTTATACTGCTCTGCCCACAGGAGAAATGGGACATTGGCAGCAAAAAAAAAAGTAGTCAGCATAGCCATCATGCTTCAGTTTGCTGGTGTTCTCAGGAAAGTGGGCTTGTTTTCTCAGTGCTGCTGTTTTCTGTGAGTTCGGAAGAATTTTTTACTATAAGCAGCTGCTGGTGTATTCTTGCTGGATAAATTAAATTTTTGGAATTTTACCCCAGTTAGTTAAGAAGCACGGGTTTTCTCAGTTTTATTTTTTTGCTCTCCCAGACCTGCAGTTGATGACTTCCCCTTTGTGTTTCACCTACCACCCAACTGCTATTCAGGGGAGGCTAGTTTGATTGGGGATTCCCTACTCCTTTTTATCATAGGCTTTTTTTTTTCTTTCATTCACTCATTGGCTGGACATGTTTCATCATGCATGAACCATGGTTGTACTTTCCACTGGCTTCCTCTGCTGACGTCCTTGAGGGTCAAGGCTGGCATAGGCCTTATAGCATTTTGCTGCATGGCTCAGTGGTCACTGTTCAGGAGTCGCACAGGTTGTGGGTCTGTGCTGCTGTTCAGTTTTGTTACGGCTGTTGTGTACCGGGGACCTGATCTCATGGAGCCATTCTGTCTGGCTTTCTGGTTTGTGTACAGGGTGCTTTACTTTCAGCGCTTTGGGGAGTTTGCCCCAGTTTGTGTGGATTTTGTGGTCTATCGGCATTGTTTGTGGTTGTGCAGCCATGACTCTGCCCCACTTAGCACCTGCGTGGTGTGTTAATGTGCCAAACTAGTGTCGTTTTTGGTACAGTCAGCCTTGGAAGCTACATTGCCTGTAGTATGCAAAAGACTTTTTGGAAGGTGTGTTTTTTTTTTTTTTTTTTTTTTTTTTTAACCACAACTGTATGCCAAAGCAATGATGATTCATTAACTGGGACAGGGACGGAGACACTGACTTGGCGCCCCGGATGTGACATTTTTCACGTCTCTTCCAGGTCCACAACAAGGGTAAGAGTGGATGTATGTCTGCTCTGCACCCTACCCTCTACCCGTAGCACCTGCTATGCCGGTCCCAGGCCTGCAGATCGGTTGTGGATTTCTTGTATCAGAAGCTTTAGTCTGATCTTTTCGGATCATTTCTAGATACTATTTCTCCAGGACACTACTGTGGACAGGAATGCCCATCTCCCTTAGTGGAAGAAGCCTAAGGAATAGAATCCCAAGTTCTCTCTAACTTTTCCAAAACATTTCTTTTTGTTTCTATACTTGTCTCCTTGTCGAAATCCTCCCATCTGAGTTCCTAGTCCGGCTGCGTGATCTAGCATGCAAGTCAAGTTGGTGTTGAGGCTCAGGGCTTCCTTCTTGCCTAAGATAGTTTTCTGCTCTACACCACAGCTAGCTCTGGTTCACCAAAAGGAAATTTCCCTTCATTGTCTGTGGTTTGGGCTGTGAGTGTTTTTTTTTTTTTTTTTTTTTTTTTTTTTTTTTTTAATTTAAATTATTTTCCAGGTGGACACCCTAAGGGGGTAGTCTGGCTTTTCTGGCCACCATCTTTAGAAAACTCAGGCAGAACATAATCCAGACTTGAGTCGTCTACCCTTTCCTGTACTGCCAAGGTGCGCTCTAGATCTGTGAGGGCTTCTTGTTGTTTTCGGTATTGTGCAACATTTCCCAGTTTGCAAGACTGCCATTTGGTCTCTCCTGTGCCTCCTTCCCCCTCCCATTTTTACCAGCTGTTCAGACTTCATCAAATGTTAGATACTTTAGGTGTGGCCGTGCACTCCCATTTCTCTCCCCCCCCCCCCCCCCCCCCCCCCCCCCCCACAAAATCATTTCTGGGACTGGCTGTCAGTCAATGTATGGACAACTTTAGCCTTTTGCCCACTCCTCTGTTGGATTGCTTTTGGGTGCCCTGACATTTTAAGAATTCCTATGTTTCTCAACGGACAATAAAGAAAATAGTATTTGTGTTCTCAAAATCCTTTTCTGGGAGTCCATTCAGGGATACAAGTCCCCTCCTTCTGGGGTAATCCTGTGGTGTACAAAGGTTTTTTTTTTTTGTTTTTTTTTGTTTTTTTGTATTTTTGTTTTTCCTATGTAATTCTTCCAAAAGTCTATTACATTTTATTTATTTTTTTTTTTAAGGTTCAGTTTAGGGGCAGGTGTAATTCCCATGTGTAATTTTCATTCATATTGACTTTTGGGATGGAATACAAGCAAAGTACAATCTGATCACAAGAACAGGGCAAATTGACATTGTCTTGGCAATGGACCTGACGACCCCCCCTTATACTAAAACTAAAAGAAAAGTCTAATTTGTGCTACTTAAATATTCCCTCCCCCTTCAACCTAACCTGCCCCCAGTATAAGAAAGATCTGTTAACTGTTTTTAGTCTGGTTGTGTCACTTGATCCTGCAGCTCTGGCTCCCCTGTGTCAGTGAGCAGCTACTACAGGGGAGAGGAGGGAGCACCAACAACGGCCGAGCCAAGGGCCTGTAGCTGACACCATGGCTCTGGGAATTCAATCATTGTCTCCTTTCACACAGGGGAGCAGGAACTGCAGGGTCAAGTCACTGTACTGGAGGTGATAAAAAAAATAGTTAAGTACTCATCTCATTCTTAAAAATAGTTTGGCTTTTCTACCATGTTAACAGCGATTCCCACTCCACCTCTTCTGCTACAGCTAGTGACAGTACTTGGTGCTTTTGAGAATAGAGTACATGTGACCACAGCCAGTCACTCACTGTCGCATGACCACGAGTTACTTCAATTCTGGTTTTGGTGTCGGCTGCAACCAAAAGAATGAGCAGTAACTGTACAAGCAAGGAGAATAAAAGGGGGCCATTAAAGGTCCTTTTGCAGATGCAATGTCATGTTACCCTGCTTGTTGTATAACATTGAATAGGTCCAGTGTTAGGTCATGGAGTCTGCTTTGTGGGTCAAACAGGAAGATACGTTCTAGAACCTTCTGAAATGCAAGCAAGGATGCCAGCAGGCGGTTTATATAAGTGTGTGTATGTTTTGAGTGCATTTGTAAAAATACATGCATGTATTTAATATTTCTGTGTTACAGGGATCAGTCCCAAACAAATTTTATGTTCATAATGACATCTTTCGTTACGAGGATGAGGTTTTTGGGGATTCGGAAACGGAGCTGGATGAAGGCAAGTGTTGTCTTCTAAGCCTTGGATTTGCTTACCTTTTTAATAAGCTTTGCACAATTATCCTGACATTACTATGTACTTTAAAATTATATTTTAAATACCTTAATCACCAGAATCTGAAGAAGAAGAAGCAGAAGAACCGGAAGAAAGACAGCCATCCCCTGAACCTGTTCAGGAAAACTCCAACAGTTCTTATTATGACCCACATCCAGTGTCGTAAGTTTCTCTCCCTTGTTTTAGTTTTTTTTTTTTTTTTCTCCTGATGAGTTTTTCTTGCCTTTATTTTTTTAAATCTGACAATTTGGCCTGAACTTTCTAGTTGTTACATTTTAATGTCTTTACACGGCCTAACTTTTAGTGTCTCCTATTTAGAAAAAAAAAAGGGGGGGGGGGCTGATTTTTGGCCAGCTTAACTTTTTCTTTGGTGAAGTCAAAATTTGCATATGACTTTAGAAGCTCAGTTCAAGTTACTGAGACATTTGGCGAAGCTCTTTTCCATTTTTAATGTCCATGTCCCCTCAGTCCTTACCCCCCCCACCCTTCCCTATCCCATTCACCCCTTCTTGCACCTAATTTAGAAAAAATATTTTCTAGGTGTCTTCGATAGTGATGAGCCAGACTGCCCTGGGTTCGGTTCATGCAGGGTTTGGCAATCTTTAAAGAGCACCTACGGCTTTCTTAGGAACCAGTGGCAGCTGGAAGCTGTCTTATACTATGTAGAAGCAGTAAAAGTACAAAGAACGAATTAGCTACAGTTCGGGGGTTCGTCCTGTAGGTAGAGGTCCACTGAAGCATTGCTTTTTCTGCTGTTGAAGTGCTTTGTGGGTATTCCTATATAAGGTGGGGGGAGCTGTGGCTTATTTTTCCTGGGAGAAATCTAGAGAAGGAAGGTCTGATGAAGGTGGTCGTGCTCTCCCCTTTGGGGGAGGGGCTGGAGAAGGGTTCCTGCAGCTCCGACTGAGGATAGAGAAAGGGTTTTGAAAGAGGTAGAGAGGCTGGGAAAAGTTCATGCAGAAGAAATGGACAGCTGAGAGAGCTGATAGCCCACATTGAGAGAGGAAGATTGAGTTATATTTGCTGAGCCACAAGTGATCAAATGCCTGAATACTTATTTTTAAGCCAATATGTGGAGAATGCTATGCCGTTATATGGATGCTGCTGTTCTATTTGCTATCTGAACAAGTAAGGTTTATTGCAAAAAAGGCTGGTGCTTGGGTACTTTTTATTTCAAATTATACCTTATATTTTAATATTAGTAATGGTGTAGAAGAGTCTTTAGAAGAACCCATTCATGAGCCAGAACCAGAGCCTGAACAAGAAGTTAAGAGTGAAGAGATAAAGTCTGAGCCAGAAGAAAAGAATATAGAGGAACTTGAGGAAAAGTCTCCCACACCCCCGCCTGCTGACCCCATTCCTCTGCCCCAAGAACCACCAAAGGTACATTGTCTGTGATGTGTTCATGTATCTGTTTCCATACAAATGCCTGCTCTGTATTTCTTCAGTTATTTATTGGAATTTATCTGTAAAAGAGCAGTCTGCCATGTATCAGAGTTCTAGTTGGATAAATCATGTTGCTGATAATTGTTCATTGATCATTTTTCATTTAAGCATGTGTCTCTTTTGTGTACAAATAGTAGAGTCAAGAGCATCCAGCTCCAAGCAGCTTTCTGCTTTGGCATTGTAGTAAAATAAAGGGAGACCAAAACCACCAATTGTGCTGCTGCATCGCCATGATTAAAATGATATAGCAATTGATTTGGTCATAAAGCACTTTATATTTCTATGAATTGAAGGGGTGTATATTCGAATTTGTGTGTGTTTGGTACATTGCACTTTATATACAAATTGAATGGGTGTGTGTGTGATATGTTTATGATAAACTACAGCAGCTGAAAGGTCATTTAGGGATAGTGCAGGTTGTTGAGTTGCGTGAAGAGATAAAACTGCTATGCCCCAAACTGATCTAGCTTGACACATGATCATTAGATTTAATCCTATTATGGGTTACTTTTTTGGAAATTGATATAGGGAAGACCATGGTGATCATGTCAGAAAATGTAAAAACAGAAATATTACTAAATGTAAGTATTCTAGTCAAATCAGATTACAGATACAGGAAGTATGTGGGTGTTATAAACTGACGAAATATCAGTTGAAGTGTGCTAGTAGACTGGTTTGTTATCTCACAGCTGGTCTCCTTGTATCGAAGTTTCAGTTCCTTAAAAGCGGTATTAAACACAAAAACACAAGTGTAATACATTTTAGCTTATCAAACCTTAAAGTGATTGTAAAGGCTAAAGGTTTTTTGCATGCATGAAGGTAAACAAAACCTGTGTGCAGCAAGCTGAATTGGGTTTTCTTATTTAGGCTTTTTTCCATTATCACCTTGTCCTTGGGTGATGTCTTAGGGTGTCTTCACTCCACTGGAGGTGCAATGGAGATGCCTTTCTGACAGCAGCATTGTCAGTTTAGAGAGATGGTAGTATTGCATGCACTAGCAGAATTAGATCGACTTGCATAACAAATGAAAGTCCTTAAGCAGTTAGAGCAATAGGTTTTAATTTTTTTTATTGTACATTACCAGGGCACAGGGTCGTTCATAACTATTGTGCCTTCACCTGCAGGTCTTTGGACGCTGGCAAAAATACCCTCCCAGCAATAACCCCTCCTAGCCAGGCATAGCTTCAGTTTTGTGCTAGTGTCTTAGGCAACAGTCATGCCTATGCAGTCTCTGCACAAATCTTGATCCTTTTTTTTTTTTTTTTTTTTTATTTAAGCCAGTTTTTCTCATGATTGCATCTGGGATTAGGAGACTGGCTCAAAGTGGATCTGTTGCTGACAGCAGTTTGCTAAGTAGAGTGGCACCCAAACCCCATTTTGGACATGAAGGGACTACAATGGAATGTTGGCGTTCAGCACTGGACTCTGCATGATGGAACCCAGTGCAGTGATATTACCATGTGGATTAGCAGGTTATACAGGTCCAAGGTATTTATCTCCAGCTTCCAGCTAGGAAGTTGTGTCCCTGAATGCCCTTGTGGTGGCAAAAGTTTGAACCCTCCTGGGGGGGGGGGGGGGGGGGGGGCATGCAGCAAGGACTGGTGATTACTAGTCCAGTGGTAGCCCGATACCAGGAAAGAGGGGAGGAAGGTCTCCTGGATTCCTGCCCTGAGCAACCATATAGAGGTGACTGAGCTTAGGAACAATCTTGGAGTCTTGGTCACCAAAACCGGGGGTGGAGTGCTTCTATCTACCTCCAGTTATCTGTGCACACAAGGAAATACACGCAGGCCTAGTGCAGGTCGGTGACGTCACAAGGGGGCAGAGTCAGCTGGTAGTTGCCATCTTGAAAAGCAGAAGAACCAGACAGGTTGTTTTTCTGTCGGCTACCTCTGACTACACAGTGGATAAGTACTGCATTGTTTGCTTAATCCGTTTAAAGGAAGAGGGACCACTGGCAGAAAAAGGCAGAACTTATTGTGACATTGTCTATCTAGATCTGGGAGTACCAACACAGGTGTCTGATTTGATTCCGCACCCATTCTTCGCAGCTGACGGGGACTGCTAAAATACAGTGAGTCTGTTATATTGGAAGCAGGCCATGTCCCAACAGGGGGAAGAGGGTTCCCCAATCCCTTTGTCAGGTAGAGAGGAACCTGGACACAGCTCATATTGCACTATATTCCCTGGGGGGTCAGTTGGTTGTTTGTAGTGCTGATTCCATTCACCCTCCTGCTCTTTCTGCCTCATCCACTATTTGGATGGAACACCAGCTTTCTGGAATCTTTTCTGGATTAGACAGTCTGAAGTCCACCAGAGGATGAGGTGGAAGGGGAAATGATTTTTCTGGAAGAGGGAGACTCGGATAATACCTCCAGAGAGGAATTTAATTCTGAAGAGCCCCAGGGTCAGGTTTTATCCTCGACCCAAAAGGCCTTATGTTTTTTTGCAGAAGTAGTCCAGACCAACATAAAACTACCTCTTAGAGTTGTCTGTCACAAGATTGGGATCACAGTATCTCCTATCTTTACATCTTGCTCTGAGAAATCAAAGGAAGCAGATCTCACCTTGTCTTGTGCAGAGCTTCATGTTCTCACACTGCTGTCTGCTGTCCATGGCAAGGAAGATTGGCAGGTGGATTTTCTGAGTAATCAGCTGTTGACTGGGAGGTATTGAGCTCTTCATCTAGAGGTGTTAGAGGAACTCTATTAAATGTGGGGCACCCTGGATGTAGATCTTGTGGCATCCAAGTTCCATGCAAACTCGACATATTCAGAACCAGAAATGGATCCCAGTGATTCTGTTCACACAGTCTGGCCCTGGAGAATATGGTACTCTCTCACATCATAACTTTGTTGGCGGATGACCCTTCTGGATTGACCTGACCTCTGATGCAAGGTGTGATCTTCCATCCTTTTACAGTCGTTGATTCCAAAGAAAAAAGGTATACCGCTCAGGCAAACAATCCAGATCACTCCAACAGGTGCAGGCTGTGGCTCACCACCACACACGATGCAATAGGAAGAAGGGTCAGCCGCACACCGGAGGATGGATGAATATAGTGTATATTAATCATAGTGATTAAGCATGAGATCGTGTGAAATGCATTAACAGGTCCTGTATTCATGTCCTCTTGTTGTGTCTTATGGATCAATATATATAAACTATATTCATCTATCCTCCGTTGTGTGGCTGACCCTTTTCCCTTTACAGTCACTGGCCAGGTTTTGCTGGACTGCAAGCTGTTTAAGGAATTTAAAAATTAACACAAATTACCAGATATAAATGTAAAAAAAGAAAGGAAAGGAGCAACTGCTTAAATATTGGTAAGCTCCAATATATTTTTGTTTTTAAATTTAATACCGCTTTATTAGCGATTTAAAAAAAAAAAAAGAAATATTCCACTACGTTTATCTTCATTGTTTTCTTTAGAAAAGGAAATGGGGTGGGGGGAGGCAGAAGAGGTCTGTGAAGAAGGAAATTGTTAACTTTAAAGGCTAAGTTCACTTTTGGGAATGGAATGAAATGGAACAGATGTGTTTAGTGGAATGAAAATTACAAGTCTGTATGCAGTATTGGGAGGTGGGTCTTGTTTGTTTATAGATCACTGATTGAATGGCACAGAGCTGCAGGCAGAGCCGTGCCGATTTTAAAATGTGATAACGGCTGCAAAGGAGAGGCACCCACACCTGCTGTCATGGGAGGATGGATTGGAGGATGAGGGAACATGTGCTTGAACATATTGCACCCTAAATATGGATGTAACATTTTCCAAAAGGTTTTGCCTTTAAATGAAAATAATCATACATGCAATACAAAAATCTTATAAAGGTAGTGACCTAGTGATTGAATTTGGAGGGCATATATTCCCTCTTCTAAAAATACCTAGCTAAAGAAGCAACCATTGTTATTGATTCAGCTCCAATTACTGGTTTTGTCTCTGTGAACTTGTGGGGGTCTGCAACATTGGAATCCTATCAGTTGGGTGTACACCAGGGTATCCACAAAGTTATTGCCTTGTTCAAATATTTATATATATTCTTGGTACTGCACAGGCATGTCTTAAACTGTATTAAATCCAAAAATAAAAAGGTATATAGCTTACTGATTCTTCAAGGTGGTGGCTGTGTTGGTTTTTCATTTTTTAGGGTTTTTTTCTTTTATTCCATTTCAGTTTTTATATGGTGCTCAGGCAAAAATGAGTGTTGCTATAAATCATTTTACCACTGCCAGGGGTGCTTGCAATGGTTTGCTTTTATGTAAAACCTTTATTTCAAAAGGAAGAAACTGTTGCTGTAATGGCTTAATGTGTTTTTTTTGGAATTCAGCAGGCCATCTAAATCTGCTAGTGCATCTAAAGCCCCGTACACACAGGTTGAATATTGGCCCATGTGTATGGGTCCTTATTGGAATGAAGCCGATCTTTCAGCCAGCTTTTGTCAAATGAGCGTGCTAGAAAACCAGCAGCTAATCAACGTTCGATCAGCGCTCTCAGCCAATGGCAGCAAGTGCTGACCAGTTCTGGCAGGTGGGGCGATCCCCCTGTCATGACACAATAGCTCAGTGGGGAGGTCACTTTACTAAAATCACTTTTAGTACAGCGAACTCCTCCCGAGCTCTTCGGTTTTTTTTCTTTTTTTTTTTTTTTTTTTTTCTTTTGTTTTTTTTATTCAGTCCGTGGGGCTGAATGGGGAAAAAAAAACTTACCATGTGTACCAGACTTTACTGACTTTCTAGATTGACAGTGCTACTGTGTCTCGGTTATGCCTCCAGTGAACTGGAGACACTCCAAAGACAGGAAGTGTTGCTGGTTGGACCACCAGGTGAAAATAAAGTAAAAAAACCTAAAACAAATGCAACCACCTCTATTAAGGATTGGTAAGTTGCAGTATATATTTTTGTTCTTGGTTTTAAAAGTGCTTTAACTTCGTACTGTAGACAATTCATCATTTCTTGTAATCGGCCCATCTTTGGATCCAACATTCCTGCTTGACTGCATAGCTGGGTCCCTGACCTCACCTATAATGGTAGTAGGCGTGATTGGTTTACATGATATGCTTTCCTTACTTAGTTGGATTACTGCATTGACAGGTTAGTTTAAAAGTGTGTCTGAGGTGTTAATCTTTTTATTATTTTTTTTTTTTGTTCACAATACATGTTTTATTTTTTTTTTCTTCTACCTATAGTTCTGCTTTAAGTTTCTAGTTTAAATTGACTATTTTAAAGTTAAAGTCAAACCACCAAAAAAAGACTAGTGTGTGTGTATATATAAATATTGGTGGTTCAGGTGTTTTTTCAGTTTAGCAGAATGGAGCAATTGGTAAGTTTCCTTTGTATTTTCTTTAGGCTTTCTCTTGGGCATCAGTGACAAGTAAAAACCTGCCTCCAAGTGGTACTGTACCATCTTCAGGAATTCCTCCCCATGTTATTAAAGCTCCTGCTTCACAGGTAGTTAAGTTTCTGAGGCTACATGTTTTCTAGTACCTATGGCTTTTTTATTTTTATAGTAGTTGTCCTCTTCCCCAAGCTTGTAATTTAAAAAAAAAAAAAAAAAAAAAAATGAACATGAAAAAACTGAGGATGCCATTACACAAATCTTTCACCACTTAAGGCGCATTTATGAAGCAGTGGTATAGCCTAACTCTGGTCATACTGCTGCTTTTTAAAGAAAAAAAAAAAATCTTACAACTTTATAAAAGCAAAGTTTTTTTTGTGCTTTGCATATGTTCTTTGCACTTCACTTCAGTCTAGTGAATTGGGGGTTAATAGGAGGAAACTTGTCAATGACTTTGACATATCATTTGACAGGACTCTCCTTCTATCCACGAGTGTTCTCTATAACTATGTGCAGAGAAGACTCTTCAAGATGTCATAGGCTCCACACAGCACTGTAAAAAGCAGGTACGATGTGGAGTAATTAGAGCGATGTCCCACGGAAAGCAGATACTACTCTGTTTTATAGGTCATTAAAATCTAATTATACAACTACATGGTATAGGCAAGATGAGCACATAACCTTCAAATTCCTAAGTACTATAATAGGATGAAATTCTTAACATGCCTTGTACAGTTAACTTTTTTTTTTATTATTGTAGTCAAGAACTGAAAGTAAACCAGACAACCAAGTGCAGCCTCCTCGTACTCGTGAGCAGCGTCCACGAGAGCGTCCAACTTTTCAACCAAGGGGTGCCCGATCAGGTAATCAAAATAAGTAAACGGAAAAAAAAAAACAAAACCTAATTGTGGCTTCTTATGGTTTTCATATTGACAGGCTGGTCAAAGCTACTGTGTAGTGCAGGCATGTCCAAAGTCTGGCCCGCGGGCCATTTACGGGCCGAGGGTCGGTTTAATACGGCCCTCCATGTCAGTGTGTCTTATGGAGCGGCCGGTCCGGTATTTCCACCGTGGCCGTGTCAGAATACCGGGCCGGCCGCTCAGCTCTGCAGCGGGACCTTACCTGTTCCTCTATCCAGCGGCATGCTGTCTTCCCATTTTTCTGTAGTGTGGGCACTGGGCATGACAGCCGGTTGCCAAGTGCGCATGCGCAAAGAAGCGGTGCTTTTTGTGAATGGTAAGGCGGTACCTGGGACACATGACAGATCCCAGAAGCCGCCGGACCAATCACAAAGCGCAAGTGCTTCTCGCTCATGCACACTGGGCACCCGGCTGTCATGCCGAGCGCCATTACAGAAGCCGGGAAGACAGCGCGCGGCTGGATCGAGGAACAGGTAAGATCAAAGAACAACTGCGGAAGTAAGAGCGGGTACCTGTCAAATTCAGGTACCCGCTCCCCACCTCCCCAAAGGTCAGCAGTCATCTGTACTGTCCGCAGTCTCTGGTCATCCCTGTGCTGTCCGCAGTCTCTGGTCATCCCTGTGCTGTCCGCAGTCTCTGGTCATCCCTGTGCTGTCCGCAGTCTCTGGTCATCCCTGTGCTGTCCGCAGTCTCTGGTCATCCCTGTGCTGTCCGCAGTCTCTGGTCATCCCTGTGCTGTCCGCAGTCTCTGGTCATCCCTGTGCTGTCCGCAGTCTCTGGTCATCCCCTGTGCTGTCCGCAGTCTCTGGTCATCCCTGTGCTGTCCGCAGTCTCTGGTCATCCCTGTGCTGTCCGCAGTCTCTGGTCATCTCCTGTGCTGTCCGCAGTCTCTGGTCATCTCCTGTGCTGTCCGCAGTCTCTGGTCATCTCCTGTGCTGTCCGCAGTCTCTGGTCATCTCCTGTGCTGTCCGCAGTCTCTGGTCATCTCCTGTGCTGTCCGCAGTCTCTGGTCATCTCCTGTGCTGTCCGCAGTCTCTGGGTCTCCATCTCCTGTGCTGTCCGCAGTCTCTGGTCATCTCCTGTGCTGTCCGCAGTCTCTGGTCATCTCCTGTGCTGTCCGCAGTCTCTGGTCATCTCCTGTGCTGTCCGCAGTCTCTGGTCATCTCCTGTGCTGTCCGCAGTCTCTGGTCATCTCCTGTGCTGTCCGCAGTCTCTGGTCATCTCCTGTGCTGTCCGCAGTCTCTGGTCATCTCCTGTGCTGTCCGCAGTCTCTGGTCATCTCCTGTGCTGTCCGCAGTCTCTGGTCATCTCCTGTGCTGTCCGCAGTCTCTGGTCATCTCCTGTGCTGTCCGCAGTCTCTGGTCATCTCCTGTGCTGTCCGCAGTCTCTGGTCATCTCCTGTGCTGTCCGCAGTCTCTGGTCATCTCCTGTGCTGTCCGCAGTCTCTGGTCATCTCCTGTGCTGTCCGCAGTCTCTGGTCATCTCCTGTGCTGTCCGCAGTCTCTGGTCATCTCCTGTGCTGTCCGCAGTCTCTGGTCATCTCCTGTGCTGTCCGCAGTCTCTGGTCATCTCCTGTGCTGTCCGCAGTCTCTGGTCATCTCCTGTGCTGTCCGCAGTCTCTGGTCATCTCCTGTGCTGTCCGCAGTCTCTGGTCATCTCCTGTGCTGTCCGCAGTCTCTGGTCATCTCCTGTGCTGTCCGCAGTCTCTGGTCATCTCCTGTGCTGTCCGCAGTCTCTGGTCATCTCCTGTGCTGTCCGCAGTCTCTGGTCATCTCCTGTGCTGTCCGCAGTCTCTGGTCATCTCCTGTGCTGTCCGCAGTCTCTGGTCATCTCCTGTGCTGTCCGCAGTCTCAGTCTCTCCTGTGGTCAGTCTCCTGGTGCTGTCCGCAGTCTCTGGTCATCTCCTGTGCTGTCCGCAGTCTCTGGTCATCTCCTGTGCTGTCCGCAGTCTCTGGTCATCTCCTGTGCTGTCCGCAGTCTCTGGTCATCTCCTGTGCTGGTCCGCAGTCTCTGGTCATCTCCTGTGCTGTCCGCAGTCTCTGGTCATCTCCTGTGCTGTCCGCAGTCTCTGGTCATCTCCTGTGCTGTCCGCAGTCTCTGGTCATCTCCTGTGCTGTCCGCAGTCTCTGGTCATCTCCTGTGCTGTCCGCAGTCTCTGGTCATCTCCTGTGCTGTCCGCAGTCTCTGGTCATCTCCTGTGCTGTCCGCAGTCTCTGGTCATCTCCTGTGCTGTCCGCAGTCTCTGGTCATCTCCTGTGCTGTCCGCAGTCTCTGGTCATCTCCTGTCCTGTCCGCAGTCTCTGGTCCCTGTCCGCAGTCTCTGTACTGTGTGCAGTCTCTGGTCTCTGTACTGTGTCTGCAGTCTCTGGTATCTCCTGTACTGTGTCTGCAGTCTCTCCTGTACTGTGTCATCTCAATCCTGTACTGTGTCTGCAGTCTCTGGTCATCTCCTGTACTGTGTCTGCAGTCTCTGGTCATCTCCTGTACTGTGTCTGCAGTCTCTGGTCATCTCCTGTACTGTGTCTGCAGTCATCTCCCTGTCTCTGGTCATCTCCTGTACTGTGTCTGCAGTCTCTGGTCATCTCCTGTACTGTGTCTGCAGTCTCTGGTCCTGTACTGTGTCTGCTCCTGTACTCCTGTACTGTGTCTGCAGTCTCTGGTCATCTCCTGTACTGTGTCTGCAGTCTCTGGTCATCTCCTGTACTGTGTCTGCAGTCTCTGGTCATCTCCTGTACTGTGTCTGCAGTCTCTGGTCATCTCCTGTACTGTGTCTGCAGTCTCTGGTCATCTCCTGTACTGTGTCTGCAGTCCATTAGTTCAGAATTTTTTTTTTCCTGTTTTCTGCCTCTAAAACCTAGGTGCGTCTTATGGTCAGGTGCGTCTTATACGGCAAAAAAATACGGTAACTTGGCATAAAATAATTTATTTGCATTTAATTGTAATGGTTCAAAGAATGTTTGGAAAAATGTTCGGCCCTCCACCATGTTCACTTCATCCAATCTGGCCCTCTTTGAAAAAAGTTTGGACACCCCTGGTGTAGTGTAATCACAAAATGCATATTTTCTCCTTGGGAACCGTTGTAATATGGTTGGACAATCTGCCATGTTCTTTAACCCTCCCCCCAGCTAGTCATGCTGGCTGCTATTTACCCCAATAACGGCATTTGTGCTGTTAGCATGCTGTCGGCACATACTGGCTGTCCAGTAACGCGAAGGCCTAGTTCAGACTGGGTACAATACCGCAAGCCTTTGCAAGACTGTGTTTACCTGCACAAGTGTTTCTTGCATCCCTGGGCAGGCAGTACCATTGATGTCTATTGGGGCACAGTGGCTGCATGGACACATCTGCTGTGTCCCACTTTGACATCTGTGCTACTAAACCCACAACAGTAAAATCAGTCTGTATATTAAGTAAAGCATGCTGGTTATGCTTGCTGTGGAACCTAAGGGGTTAATCCTGCATTGTGTAAAAAGCCCGTTTGATCCTGACTTCTCTGCTCCTCCTCATGTTCAAATGTCCAGGCTGTCTTATAAGTAGATAAGACGTGAACTGTAGCTATTCTGCACATGCTCAGTTTAGTGTGTAGTGCTAGAGAGGTTTTTTTTTCTGTGGAGAGTGCATGTGATCAGCACAGGGCCAATTAGCACTGTCAGGGTTTTGCATCCTCTTGAGAGCAGAAAGAAAACTCCTACAAGCTTTAGGGTCCTGGGTTTAGTAACACTTTGACTGGCATTACCTGATAAAAGCTGTATAGCCCACACAACGTCTGATCGGCTAGGCGATCACAACGGAAATGGGAGCGGGTACCAGTCAAAATCAGGTACACGCTCCCCAAAGGTACCAATTCCTCACGGAGACCGATACTTAAAGTGGTATTTTCCCTTTTGGATGGAGCTCCGCTTTAACACAAAACCTCTGAATATTTTCAAGCAATTAATATAATGGTCTCTAACACCATATAGTGGCTTTTGAATATAAACAATTATGTGCCCAACTGCAACGTAAATAGCAATCTCAGAGGAAATGAAAAAAAACTATAATCTTTCTGCAAAAAAAAAAAAAAAACCACTGCCAGAGTGCTCTTGCCACAACCAAAATTCATCTTTTAGACCTTACTAGACTGTCAGGTCAAACCATTTTTTTTCAGCAGGATTTTCCTTGCCTCGTTTCCTTTTTTATATCTCAATCAGTATATTAAAACAAATATTCATGTGGCATAATATTGTTACAACCTAAAATTATTAAAACTTTAAAAAAATGTGAGCTCATATATATTGATGTTACAGTCTGCACCATATACAACTGCATATACACGATTGCCAAAAGTATTGTGACAGCCCTCCAAATCATTAGATTCAGGTGTTTCAATCACCTCCATGGTCACAGGTGTATAAAATCAAGCGCCTAGGCATGCAGACTGCTTCTACAAACATTTGTGAAAGAATGGGTCGCTCTCAGGAGCTCAGTGAGTTCAGGAATGGTACCACGATAGGTTGCCACCTGTGCAATAAGTCAGTCTCAGGAAATGTCCTTGCTACCAAATATTCCAGTCAGCTCTTAGTGGTATTCTAACAAAGTGGAAACAACTGGGAACAACAACTCAGCCACAAAGTGGTAGGTGATGTAAAATTACAGAGTGGGGTCAGCGCATGTTGAATGGGTTTCCATGGCCGAGCAGCTGCACCCAAGCCTTACATCACCAAGTGCAATGCAAAGCATCGGATGCAGTGGTGTAAAGCAGCAGAGACCTGTTCTATGGAGTGATGACTCATTCTTCTCTGGCAATTCGATGGACGTGTTTGGCGTTTGCCAGGAGCATGGTACTTGCCTGACTGCATTGGGCCATGTGTAAAGTTTGGTGGAGGGGGTATTATGGTGTGGGTTTGTTTTTCAGGGGTTGGGCTTGGCCCCCTAGTTCCAGTGAAGGGAACTCTTAAGGCATCAGCACACCAAGACATTTTGGACAATTTATTTCATTACAGGTACTTATATAGCGCAGTCAATGTATACAGCGCTTTTACATATGTTGTACATTCACATCAGTCCCTAACCCTCAAAGGGCGTACAATCTAAGGTCCCTAACTTACTTTCATACATACACATCCTTGGGTCAGTTTAGACAGGATCCAATTAACCAACCAGCATGTCTTTGAAGTGTGGTGAGGAAACCGGAGGACCCAGAGGAAACCCACGCAGGCACAGGGAGAACATGAAAACTCCAGGCAGGTGGTTGGGATTTGAACAAACGACCCTAGTGCTGCCAGGCAGAAGTGCTAACTAACCACTGTGCTTCCTACTTCCAACTTTGTGGGAACACTTTGGGGATGGTTTCCTGTTCCAACATGACTGCACAGCAGTGCACAAAGCAAGGTACATAAAGACATGGATTAGCGAGTTTGGGGTGTAGAAACGTTTGCCTGACTGGCACAGAGTCCTGACCTCAACCTGATAGAACCACGTTTGAGATGAATTAGAGCGGAGACAGTGAGCCAGGCTTTCTCATCTGACATCAGTGCCTGAGCTCACAAATGTTCTTCTGGAGGAATGGTCAAACATTCCCATAGACACAGTCCTAAGCCTTGTAGACGGCCTTCCCAGAGAAGTTGAAGCTGTTATAGCTGCAAAGGGTGGGCCAACTCAATACTGAACCCTACAGACTAAGGGCTCGTTCACACTTGGCTGTTTTACCAACGCTTGCCGAACGCCGCATGCGTGGTTTAGCAGAGGTTGCTAGGTGTTTGCCGCGCGTTAAGAACGCCCCACAAACACCTATAGTGCAGTTTGAATGGTGTTACCGCTCCTCAAATGCCTTGCAACCGCGTCGCAAACACCGGGCGTTTGCGGAGCGGCACCATAGACTAGAATAGGAGGCTTCACCACCTCCTGACTCGACCAGAGGCGTCCGTTTTGCTGTGACGCAAATGCTCCTGTTAGAACAGCACCATGTGCTGTAATGTGCAGAATTGGCAGAGGCGTTTGGGAAGCGGTAAAAACGCTTCCCAAATGCCTATCTGCCACCTGCACACAACGCTAGTGTGAACGTAGCCTAAGACTGGGATGCCATTAAAGTTCATGTGTGTGTAAAGGCAGGCGTCCCAATATTTTTGGCAATATAGTGCATCAACGCACAATGCTGTTGCAGACCAGAGTGCTCTCTGTGATCAGACTGGAGATTTAGATCTTTCTAGATTTTCAGGTCAACTCAGCAATTTTCATACTGCTTGCTAGGGCTTGTGGAATTGGCCGGTTGGGAATCTGTTTAATGAAAATAAGTTTATCCCTTTTTTTTTTTTTTTTTTTTTTTTTTTTAATGTTCATTACTTTTTTTTTTGTTTTTGTTTTTTTACAACAGGCCGTGGAGAAACTGATCAAGGGGAAACTGATAACCGCCGCATGTTCAGATATCCTGACAGCCACCAGCTTTTTGTTGGTAACCTACCACATGATATTGATGAGAGTGAATTAAAAGAATTTTTTATGAGTAAGTATACAATTCAGTTTTATTGTTTAAGGCATTTTTTTATTTTTAACACTACATCAAACCTTTTTCTCATAGCACTTCACTGAATGTCTGTCTTCCTGCCTGATCTAATTTTATATTCCCATTAATGAAAATGTAGGGAAAGTTGGAAGGGCACCTACAGGAATAGGATCAATTTTAAGCAAATGCTCATGTCTGGAAAGCTTGCTTATTTAACCACTTGCCCTCCTGAGGATTTACCCCCCTTAATGACCAGGCCTCTTTTTGCTGCTTGGCGCTGCACTAATTCAACTGATAATTGCGTGGTCATGCAATGCTGCACCCAAACGAAATTTACGTCCTTTTTTTCACACAAATAGAGCTTTCTTTCGGTGGTATTTGATCACCGGTGCGCTTTTTATTTTTCACGCTATAAACAAAAGACCAAAAATTTTTAAGAAACGATATTTTTTTACCTTCAGCTATAAAAAATATATAGTAAACTCAAAAGTTGGTTATAAATTTAGGCCAAAATGTATTCTGCTACATGTTTTTGGTAAAAAAAAAAAAAAAATCCCAATAAGTGTATATTGATTGCTTTGTGTGAAAGTTATAGCGTCTACAAACTATGGTATAGATACTGCAAACGACTTTTTTTTTTTTTGCTATACAGCGCTGGGCTAGTTTAACGGACAATTGCGCGGTCATGCAATACGGTACATAAATGAAATTTATGTCCTTTTTTTTTTTCACACAAATAGAGCTTTCTTTTGGTGGTATTTGATCACCTGTGCACTTTTTTTTTATTTTTGGCGCTATAACCAGAAAAAGTTTTGAAGAAAATTTTTTTTGAAAATTTATTTTTTCTCATTTTGGTTATAAATATCCAATAAAACTAAAATTTTGTCATAAATTTAGGCCAAAATGTATTCTGCTACATGTTTTTGGTTAAAAAATTCCTAATAACTTTATATTGATTGCTTTGTGTGAAAGTTGTAGCATCTACAAACTATGGTATAGATAATCGGCAAGCCGCGGCTCGCGGAATTTACACAGCTAATTTACTTTGCCGGGCGACTGCTCCCCTATCACATTTTCGGTTGAGGCTCCCCTGCCTCCTCTCGGTTGGCAGCCCCAAAATCCGCGCGGACCAGGATGTGGTGTCAGGAAAGCACCCTCAAATGGCTCCTCTCACAGTTCGGAAAGAACGGCGCGGGAAGACAGCGAGAGGAACGCAAAAGGTAAGTGAATTGACACTATGGCTACTAGAAGGGGGGGGGGGGAATAGTATGTGGGGGAGAAATACTATATGAGGGATGAATTACTTTATGAGGGATGAAATACTATATGGGGGGATGAAATACTATATGGGGGATGAATTACTATTATCAGGGATGAATTACTATATGAGGGATGAAATACTATATTGGGGGATTACTTTTGGGGGATGAAATCTATTGGGGGGATGAATTACTATTGAAATTATATGGGGGGATGAAATACTATATGAGGGATTACTAATATGGTTGAATTTCTGGAATATGAATTATACTACTATATGGGGATGAAATACAAAACTTATGTTTTACACGAAGTATGATGAAATTTTAATGATTGAAATTTCTCGCACAATACTATATGGGTATATATGAAGGAATGAAATACTATATGGTGGGATGAACTTACTATATGGGGGGGATGAAATACTATAATGAGGGATGAAAAATATGAGGGAATGAAAATACTATATGGGGGGATGAAATACTATATGGGGGGATGAATTACTATATTCTGGGATGGGGAATTACTATATGTGAAATAATATCGAGGGATGAATTTATTATGAGGGATGAAATTCTAGAGGGACCATACTATATGGGGGGTGTGAGAAATACTATATGATGACTTTTTGGGAGCCTGAAAGCCACATGAAATACTAGGAGCCTGAAATACTATTCCAAACCACTACGAGGGATGAAAAGCCTGAAGAATTAAAATATGGGGGATAACTTTAACAATCATTACACAAATCCTCATTACCTATTACTAGTTTTCGAAATTACTGGGGGATATTACTGATGTGGCATATCAAATAAAATTTTTGCGAGTGCCTCATTTTTGAAAAAAAAAAGGTTGCCCACCACTGGTATAGATAATGGAATTTACACAGCTTTATACTTTCTGACTGCCTATCACATTTTTCTTGAGGTGCCCAAACACCCCCAAATGACCCCTTTTCTGGAAAGTAGACACCCAAGGAAATTCCATGGGAAAATTTTTTTTGTTTTTTTTTTTTTTTTTCTTTTTTTCTTCCCCACAGGCATCTGGAATATGAGTATTTTTCAGAATCTCATTTTAAAAATTCACAAGGTTTTGAAATTGCGCCCCAAAAACATTCTTCCAGAAAAAATGGGGTTGGTTTATGAGTTTTTTTTTTACAAAAAAATCCAATGACCCATTTTGCTTACAAACTTTTCATTACACTTCCTCACTACCTATCACAGTTTCGAAGGCCCTGACATGCCAGAATAGCACCAAACCCCCCCAAATGACCCCTTTCTGGAAAGTAGACACCCCAAGGAATTTAAAAAGAGGCATGATGAGTATTTTTCAGATCTCATTTTTTCTCACAAGGTTTTGAAATCTAAAAAAGAATAGAAAAAATGTTTTTGTTTTTTTTTTTTTTTTTTCTTTTTTCTTCATTTTCCAAAAACTTGTGGCAAAAAATGAGATCTCCAAAATACTTACTGTGTCATTCCTTGGGGTGGGGGGTCATTGGGGGGGGGGGGGGGGTTAGGTGCTATCCTGGCATTTTCAAGCCTCCGAAACTGTGATAGGTAGTCTGGAAGTGTAATGAGGAAATAAAGCCCTTTAAAAGCCTGAAGGTGCTTATTAGATTTTGGGGTCCTGTGCTTGGCTAGACTGCCAAAAACGTCTCTCACGTGTGGTACCCCTATACTCGGGAGAAGTAGCAGAATGTATTTTGGGGAGTAATTCCACATATAACCATGGCATGTGTGAGCAGTAAATCATTTAAATGACAATTGTGTTAAAAAAAAAAAAATTTTTTTTGTCATTTTCCAAAAAAATTGTGGTAAAAAAAATAAATTCTTCTATTGATTCAACATGCCTCTCAGCAAATAGTTTGGTGTGTCTACTTTCCAAAAAGGGGTCGTTTTGGGGGGTGGGGGGCGTTTTATGCGCAGCATTAGAAGTTTATGCCAGACATCACTCACTCTTCTAACCACCTGAAGACCAAGTCTTTTCTGACACTTTTTGTTCACATGAAAAAAAATCTGTATTTTTTGCTAGGAAATTATTTTAAACCCCCAAACATTATATATTTTTTTTTAAAGCAGACACCCTAGTGAATAAAATGGTGTGTAGTACAATTTTTTATGACACCTAGTACCCGTGCAGTGATTTTGCAAAAGCAATAAAAAAAAAAAAATACACTTTTTTTACTTTTAATGCACAAAAACATAATATATTGGCCAATTTCGTAAAATATAAAAGATAATGGTATGCTGAGTAAATAGATACCAAACATGACATGCCCCGTGCAATGCCCACAAACTGCAAACATTTTTAATATCCATAAGCTTTAAAAGCTACCATTTTAGATATACAGAAGAGGTCTAGTGTTAGAATTACTGCCCTTGATCTGACGTTCACGGCAATACCTCACATGCATGGTGCAACCGCTGTTTACATACCGGCACAGGGTCGAGGCTTGTGCACGCAAATGTGCGCGCATGGGAGGGGCGTTTTTTGTGTGTGTGTGTGTGTGTGTGTGTTTTTTTTTTTTTTATATATGCAGCCTGTGGAGTGAATGACAAAAATGAGAAGAAATCTATGCCAGAAACAGTGTGTGGTATGCCCACCATTAGAATATACCGCCTGCATCCACCCACTTCTAATGGTGGTCACACTTTGCCCACAAGCGCCAGTTCGAAGATTGAACAAATGTCTAAATAGTGCTACGCTTGAATTAAAATTGTCCACGTATAAGTGGTACCCCATATGGAAAAAGGATGACACCAAGTCCCTAACTGTCTTGCCACTGCTCCCCATGTAGTCTGGGCATCCGGGGGGCTCCACGTGACTAACTTTTTCCCTCGTAAATCCGAAACTTCTAAGTATAGCCTGTTGTCCTCTCACAGGTCTTCTACATCTTGACCCCATATCTGGCACGCTTGCAGGGGAGAAATTGTTTGAATGCAAGGCGGCCAGAAAAATTGAGGGACTCCTCAATGCAGATGTTTTGCTGGGGAGTATGGACATCTGCAAATTTTTGATTAAGGTGATTTGCGAGGGGCTGAATTTTGTGGAGCCGGTCAAATTCAGGGTCACCCTGAGGATGACAGAGTGTGATGTCGCTGAAATGCATAAAACACATTATACTCTCATATCTATGCCTGGCCATGGCAGCAGAGAGCACGGGCATATGATGAATCGGGTCTGCGGACCAATACAACCGCAATTCATTTCTCTTAGTAATGCCCATGTTCAGGGTTAGGCCAAAAAAAATGTAAATTCGAAAACCGTAATGAGTTTCTATGCGACTGGTTTGGCAAGGTTTGAATTTGGGTTGGCGGCGATAAATTGTTGTGCATATAAATTGCTTTGATCCACAATCAACGCATACAGATATTCCGTGAAAAACAGCTCCAAAAATCAAGGAGGTATGTGAAAGACCAGGATGTACTAGACCGCTGGTACTCGCCAGTTCACCAAAAGGTAGAGCGGCACTAGTACTGGCACTCTGCTGCATATGAGAGTCATCAAAATGTACCGGCAAGTGCTAACAGAGATCAGGCCTGATTCTGCGAACACTGCGATTTTGTGTGCAATGTATCAAGTGACAGTGACCTACTGACACTGCACTTGCTGGGGGAGAAGAGGGAGGGGGTAAGCGTAGGGGTTAAATGCAGGTGCTGGCAAGTGGCGGGCTGATGCGTTTTTGGGGACGCTATATACTAATGTGAACGCTGGTATAGTGCTGATCTGATCAAAGATATTGACCCGTTCAGACACTATACTAGCAATGGAGGTTTATTGTACATGAACGTGCTCCTGGCAATCAAGGGGTTAAACGTGTTGACTAGTGTACTGACGGGCAATCTGATGCTATCTGGGAGGGGCGTGAAAACTGGGAGCGCAAACCGTGTGTGTATGTATGTATGTATATGTGATTTTGGCACCCATGCCGCCCTGTAGCAGTATTTCTGCTATATGGTGGTCAGGAAGCGGTTACAGAAGGTTTGTGTTACTTTAACTGACAATTGCGCGGTCATGCAACACTGCATCCAAATTAAATTTACGTCCTTTTTTTTTTTTTTTCCCTACAAATTGAGCTTTCTTTTGGTGGTATTTGATCGCCTGTGCATTTTTATTTTTTGCACTATAAAAAAAAAAAAGCTGTAAATTTTGAGAAAAAAAAAAGTTTTGGACTTTTTGCTATAAAACATTTCCAGTAAAAAAAAATGTAAAAATCAAATTTCGGCCAAAATGCATTCTGCGACATGTCTTTGCTACAAAAAACCCCAATACATTTAAATTAATTGGTTTACGTGAAAGTTAGTGTTTACAAATGGCGGGAAAGATACTGGGATTCATTTTTTTTTTATAATAATAATGGCGACGATCAGTGACTTATGGCGGGACTGCGGCGGACAATCTGACACTGGGGGGGAACTGACTTTGGGTCACTGACATACCCAGTGACACCAATACAGTGATCAGTGCAAAAAAAAAAAAAAAACACAGACACTACTAATGGAACTGGGGAGGAAGGGGTTAACTTTTTTTATTCAATGAAAGGGTTAACTGTGTGAGGGGAGTGTTTTACTAGGGGGCGGGGGTGTGTACTGCACAGGAGCACGCTGATCCGGAGAGAGAAACTCTTCTGTCTCTGGATCAGCATGTCAGGAGCTGACAGGGAACTGACAGAAAGCAGAGGTGCAGTGTAAACACTGCAGCCGTGCTCTGTCAGTGATTGCCGCTAATCACCGGGCCACGGCAGGCAATGACCGGCTGTGACCCGGTACTGACACCCATGGCCGCGATCATTGGCAGAGGTAGAGTGGTGGCGCTCCTCGCGTGCGCCCCCTACCTGTTTTGCAAAAGTACGTTTTAAAACGTGGTTTTTTACGCAGCCGTGCCGCCCTGCCACCGTATTTCTACAGTGGCTGGTCGGCAAGAAGTTAAGCAAATGCTCATGTCTGTGTACACCTGTACCTTGATATTGGCTGAGACTTCTCAAAGGAATATTTTACTCAATGTAAATGTGCCTGGGATATCTGCTGAAAAATCCTGCTGCCTCCTCTTTCTCTAAAGCACAAGCATGCAACTTTTGGTGAATTTGAACATGTGTTTGTGGAAAGATCTCATGGCTGCATGTCTGACCTCCACTGTGAGTAACTTTTAGAAAGATTTGGAAGGTTTTTGCATTGCAGAAACATTATACGTGGATTACGCATAACTCCTCTGAATGTCTGCCATGTATTAAGTCTGCTGTCTGCGTCTAGGCACATAGTAAATACCTTTTTACGTTGTTTTGAGTGCACCTGAAATGCTACAACTGTTCGTTTTTTGTTTTTTTGTTTTTTCCCACTATTTTGTGTTAGCTGCCTGCCTGTTTTTGATGTAATTTTATTGAAATCCAATTGAAATTGAAATCCAATATTGAAAGCTAAAACTCCACACACGTACATGTATGTAAGTGGATTTGCCAACAGAACTAACCTGCTTGGCTATAATTGGGTTCAGAAAATAGAAATGTCTGTGTGTCAGAGTAGAGGTGATTTTGTTAGAACGTGTTTTTTTTTTTTGTTTTAACTGCACAGCAAAACCATAGGTAAATAATGCCTTTGTAATCATTCTTGAATTCATAAACTATTAAATTACTTTTAAATTTGAAAATACATGTTGATATTTTGTGTAAGAAAAGGTCAAAGATGGGAAAAGACATTGCAGTGCATGGCTAGTTGCATGTCACTTGGCTTAAATTACTGCTAGCTACACATACTAATAGCCTGTTTTAAAAGCAGGAATCTTCATGTAGTATGAATGCAGTAGTGTTTTTTTATAGTAGTATTTAACTTGCTTAAAGTGACAAACGCCTGGCTAAAAAAAAATTCTGTTCAAGTATGTATTAAATTTCCTTCCATGGTCCCCACTCTATATAGGAACATAGCCACCCTCACTTGCTCTCTCCCCTCAAATGGACTATGGAATTTATAGTGTGCATAGAGTAGTATATAAAAGTGCAGCTAACGTGCACTGCTTGTTCAAAACAAACAGAAGTGAAGGGGACATAGAGAGGTCTCGTAGCTCACTGAGGAGGTTACAAGGAGGCAGGAAAACTCAAACAATTTAATGAATAATAGATTACAGGTTCATGAAGTAATGGATGTGTATGGATTCATTTTGGAGACTATGGATATCGTTTAGTGTAACTTTAAGGTGAAGCTGGCCATACACTCGATAGGGAAAAAGGTTCTCATGGCTGAATGTCTGAACTCCACAGTAGGTAAATTTTTACAAATATTTGGAAGGTTTTGCATTGCAGAAACTTGGGTTGGCTAAAGTTGGCCATACACTTTTATGTTTTTTTTAGGCTTAATGGGTAAAAGATTCTCTAGACACACAAACCAAATGGATGGAGAAATTCCCTTCCCACCAGGACTTTTTTTTCTGATGGCGATACCTGCAGCTGTCAGAAAAATGCTCTCGACCAGCGGAAGTAGCTGAACAGTGTATTCTAACATGTTTGTTGACCGACGACAATGAGATGATCATACACTGTCGAGTGGGGATGGCCATGAACTAATCAAGTCAGCTGGTCCCTGCAAAACTAACAAATCTCTATCAGTGTGTGGACAGCCTTATTTATCTAAGGTTGTCCAAGGTTTATGGAGTAAATGCCTGCTCATATTATCTGTTTAACATAAGCAAATATCAATCATAGTCTGTGGCTGATCCCTGGCTTGCTGCATTCCAAATGTACATATTTTTGTTGGCCAGTTAGGCTGCCTATCATGTTTGGTGCCAAAGGAAGTAGAGAGGAGGAGGTGGTGGGCAAGGAATTAACCAAAGAATCTGTGGTTGATGTTTGTATATTCGAATGCCTGACTTTTGGAGATCTATGATCCTTTTGAAGAGAATGTGGCCAAGCGCCTGGAAGTGTGTCTTCTCTGAATCTAGAACCATCCTTTGTAAGTTAGGGTAAACCCATAAGTTTACGTTAACGTTTTTGTATAATTTTTCATTTGCTGCAGATTATGGAAATGTAATGGAACTCCGGATTAATACCAAAGGTGTTGGTGGAAAGCTTCCCAACTTTGGATTTGTTGTGTTTGACGATTCTGAGCCTGTTCAGAGGATTCTGCTGGCAAAAGTAGGTTTATTTTTTGTTTTAAAAATTGTGTAACCATTGGTGTAAATAGGTTTTTTTGCAGTTTCATTATCTATAAGGAACAGAGTTTTACGAGGTTGCCACTGGCAAACTTTTTATTTGGGCTAATATGACCAAATGGTACATTAGTTATGATACACCCATGTAATGTAATTACATAACGGTCATGCTGCATTGAAGTGAAATAAACTGTGAATAGGAAAAGTTAAATAATAGGTCCTCACTAATTTACGAAGTAGTTAAAATGTATAAATTGTTCTAGTCCATAGATGTGTTCATAAAATCCTAGTCAGATGTGTTTTTATGGAGTGAAAAATACGGTAATAGAAGCTGTAAGTTCAGAAAGGGTTGGAAACCACTTCTGTAATTCCATTACTACATTGCTTTTGACATATTCAAAGATAATCTTTGTGTTTTAGTGCTGTGGATAGCTTCAAATGCTCCTGGTGCAAAACAAATAAACTTGTGCTTTCCTTTTGAATTTCAGCCAATTATGTTCCGTGGTGAAGTCCGCCTTAATGTGGAAGAGAAGAAAACCAGAGCAGCCCGTGAAAGGGAAATTCGTGGCGGTGATGACCGCAGGGATTTACGTCGCAATGACCGTGGTGCTGGAGGACCCCGTGGAGTCATTGGAGGTGGAATGATTCGGGATAGGGATGGAAGAGGCCCTCCTCCGCGAGGGGGAATGGCACAAAAGCTGAGCACAGGAAGAGGATCGGGCTCTATGGAAAACCGCTTCACTAGTCAACGCCGTTGAAAATAAGTCATTAATACAAAGTAAAGCCTACAGTGGTACATTATTCGTGGTGTTTGCATTCTTGTTAATTTTAGCTTTTGGAATGTGACACAGCTTTTTTTTTTTTTTTTTTTTTTTTTTTTTTTACTTTTTTTTTTTCCCTTCCCCATAATTTCTTTGATGTGAAGACATCTTTTGTTTGCAGTTTAAATTGAGGTGATTTTTTTTTTTTTCTTTTTGCTGTTTCTCAGCAGTATTTAAGATATTAATTTTACACCCCGAAATAAATTAGAAGGATTGAGATGGCCATTAGCACTGCAAGTGATTATATGGACATTGGAGGCTATATCTAGTAGAGTTCGGTATTCAAGTATTATCGTTTCTTCACTGGAAACAAAAATAGTGCAATGTTGCCTCCTGTACCTTTTTTTTTTTTTTTTTTTTTTTTTTTTTTTTTTTTTTTCTTCTGAAAATACCTTTTTTACATTGAAGAAACTAAATGGTTAAGCTCTCGTCAATTGCACGAACGATCTCCTCTTAACACGGTTGTAGGAACCCAGATTTGTAAGTTGATGGCATCTGGTTTGTTGTACCACAAACTCCTTGCTGCAAATCCTATCAAAAAGTTGTTTCTCTGGAACTAATTTAAATCTGAACATTTTTAGAATTGGTCTGAACATATTCCAGTTCTTTTGAAGGGGGTGATCCGCAGTGGTCTTTCATACATGAAGAATTTTTTGCACTTGCCCATCCAAGATACCCACGTGGCAGGCTGCTCATCCAGTTTTATCCTGCCAAACCTTTCCCTTTTTCCAGCTTTGTACAGAAAACAACAAAATGACAAATTGTACTCAACTGTATTTAGTTTTCTGGTAATGTAATACGCATGATGGTGCCTTCTATAAATTCATCATTCCAGTCTTGCTGGTGATTTTGTACAGTGAATGAATCTTGTGCTGCAAAGCCAAACTGCTTCTGTACATTCAAGAACCATTGAAAAGCCTGCCTAACCAAACTGCAGTATCTGTACATTAGTAGATTTTTTTTTTTTAAATTTTAGTATGATTTTGCTTTGGTCCACCTCTAATGACAGTTGGTATTTGTTTACCAATGTTGGGAGCTACAGTGTGTGGAAAGGGCTAATGGTCATGTCTTTGTATTCCGAGCCCTAGCTTGTAACTCTTCAAAAGGCATATAAAGTGAGTAATCTAGGTGCCCTGCAAATGTCAAGTTGCACAATTGTTAACCAATTCATGTCTCTTGAACCTGGAAGCAGAGGATGTTCTTCAGTGCTCCTAGAAGTGGCCAACAGCTATAAGTGTATGCACTTTACAATCTCATACAGGGTTTTTCCTTGGCTAGTTTTCCCTTTTTGGCACAAGTACTTGGAAAACTGACGCAAGCCTAAGAGGTTTTCATTTTCCTTTCACCCCTGTGTAATATTTTATGTAGATTTTCTCCAAGTGAAACTTTTGGAATTACCATCTTAAATACTCCACCTGCTTTGAAGAGAACATTCCAGTAATCTACAAATGTAGCAGAAGATACTGACCGCCTTGTGTAGTGACCATTGATGCTCTGCAGAAGAAAGTGTGGACACTTAAAGCTGCCTCTGGAAGTGCGGGAACCTTGTTCCATTTGGAGTCCATACTTTTAACAATGCACATGGAGAAACATGCTGCTTTTTGACTTATGCAACTGTTTGCTGAGCCTCCTCTGAAACTAATGATTGTGCACAAAAGTATTTTCCCTCCAGTCAGCTAGGCTAAATTAGACTCTTGGGATGTTTTTTAGTTTTTTGTTTTTTTTTTCAGTTTCCTTTCCTTTTATTCCTTTTTTGTTTTGTCACTTGAGGTCTTCTGTTTTTGATAGCAAGTCTTGCACTATTTCATACATTTCTGGGACACAGATTTCTCATGGTTATAATTTTATATATACATATATATATTTTGTGTTATAAAAGTTTTACATTTGCAATCTGTTACCTGGAAGTATTGTACTTGAATTCCCTACTATAACAGCTAAACTTTGGACTGGTTTTTAACGTCATTCCAATCTCGAACGGAAAGTTTGCCAACAGTTCTGTTTATTTCCTTTTTTTTTTTTTTTTTTTTTTTAATTTTTTTCTTTTTTTTGGGGATTTCCCTCTGTTAACGTTGAACTCCTATTCCAACCTGAACTGTGTAACGGCAAACTGAATGGGACTAAATCAAAGTGTAACATACCACACTAGAGGAGCATCAGAGCCATTAAGCTTTTAAGTCTGCTTCATGTCTGAATACCTTGAATAAACATACATCTGAGATGTTTACTTGGTGATTGTTCACCTACTTTACTGTGTACATTTAAGTGTTATTGTCTTAAACTTTCAGTAAATGTACCTCATCCAACATGGCTGCAGTTTTCCTTTTCATTATTGTGTTGGGCAGATAATTTGTTGTAGTATCTTCTCATTGCACTTCTGTTTCAGCACAATTGGCGTACTATTTCCTAGCTGTAGAAGACAGTGGTGAATGATTTGCCATCTTTATTGCTGTAATGTGTTTAACATTATGCCAGTAGAAACTAGTCATTTTCAAAAAATTATTTTTTTTGAGCGTATTTTTACTTTGGTTTCCATATTTTGAATGTGTTGAAACTAAAACCTTCAACAATAAACTACTGATATCTACAGCATTGGCTGATTTCCATACTTCGTTTCAAGACCTTTCTTTAAGTTGTGTATATGAATAATTCTAATTAGTTTTTTTTAATAACAATATAATTGACATTGGCAAACCTTGTATTTTTGTTCTCTGTGCTTGCGGTAAAATGTTTACAACACACCAAGGTAGCAATCTGTCATCCTGTATCCCTTCATGTTGCACACCACCCTACTGTTTAGTTGTCTGGGTGTCAATCCTTTGTTTTCCCAAACACTGTTTCGAAGAATGTCTCCCTTGTAAGTTTTGTGAGTGGAAGATCAGGGTCTGTAAAAATTGCAGATACACTGCAACTGAACATGTGTATTCCTCTCCAAATTGAGTCCCAAATTAACCCCATTATAATCATGGTTTATGAATAGTGTCAAAACTAGTATAGGTGTTATGGTCTGGTACCCCCAACATTGTCTTAAATGTACATTTACAGGACACAAACTTTTTTTTTTTTATTTTCATTTTTTTTGTTTGGCCAGTGGACTGAAGGAAAAAGATTCCTGTATGCACACTTGACCCCCCACATTCCCTTTTTCACCCACTGTCAGAATACACTGTTTAGTGACAGTATCCACTGATCTGCAAAAAGTTTTCCAACATGTCTGCACATGCAGATGGTTCTCTACTGAACTGGCCAAATTTTTATGTCTTTGGCCAGCTTTAGACATGTGCTATATGCTGCTACCTTCAGGTGATTCGACATTGACAAATATTTGTCTGGATTGCTCCCTATAACCCTAGTACTCCATATAGCTCTACTCACACTGCGAGGCTCCAGTATTTTGGCAGTTTACTTGGTTGATCTCTTCTCTTGTGGCACCTTTCTGAAGCTGCTATTTTCTGCCGAAGATGCAAACGGAGCGTTTGTTATTTCACTTGTTTCCTGATACCACAAAAACGCCTGGGTTATTGCAATTCCTGGGCATCCTGAACTCTCTTAGTCCACATCCATATCCTGCAGAACCACTCAACAATGGCAGATTACAGCTGTGGCCGCATGAGATATATAGTTACACTTCTACAGGTCCTGAGAAAAATTGCATGGTCCTCTCAGGTTGATAGCCGTTCCCTCTTTCCAGAGCAAGGTTATACACTGACACAGCTCCATCCCCCTGAATCGAGCTCCTGATACATGCAATATGTGGCCTGTGAGGTATAAAGCGGAATTTTCTGCTGCTATGTCGGATTTATTGCAAAGACTATCACTACTTTTGAAAGGGGTTTCCACCAGCCACAAAACAATCTCCTCTCATGCACCTTACCAGATACTTTTAATTCCAGGCTTCATAATTTAAATTATCTGCTATACTTCAGAAGATCCTCTCCTGCCTATATTCCACTCCCTGATGTCACATACAATCAAACCAAAATAGGCAGACCATAGTGTAGCACATCAAGTAAACAGATTTATTTAATTAAAAAAGCGCTTACAGTGTGTAGTGGTGTATATCAGCATCTAACATACAGCTCCTTCCTTGCACCTCAACCAAGATAACCACCGACAAACTTCTGGCTAGCGTCTGATGTCTATTTCTGATGCATTTCGTCATTACGACTTTGTCAAAGGATGTGCATGTCAGACGTGCGACTAGCTCTTAAACAATACAATTCTGCCCACACCAGGACGTGAAATTGCCATCTTACAAAAGGGCTAACTGGCACAAGATTTAAACCGTGAATGCATCCTTCCAAAACCTTAAGCGCTCTACAAATATAAAAACACAATCCTAAACTATGCCTAAATACAGAATACCTTAACGTAATAATCATACTACATAGAAGATATTAGCGAGGCTCGGTGCGAATTTAGCTCCCATTGCCACCCCTTTCTTCTGAGTTTAGAATTCACCATCATACCAGAAATCGTTATTATGCATCCCAAATTCTAACAATTGAATTATAAATTTCCTTTGTTTTCTCTGAATCTCTGTGTACTTCCTAAGGGTCCATTTAACTGCATTAACCACATCTTCGTGTCTAATACGTTATGCTCACTATATGATAAATACTATACTATATGATATTTTTGTTGGAGAGCAATTTACCACAGATGAGGAAGAACGATAAGTGAGTAATACACAATATTCATTTCTTTACAAAGAAAATAATTTTAACTGGAGAGTAAGAGTAGAAATTACGGATTGAGAGTGATGGCACATGGTGAAGTTTTGGCTCTAGTATTTTTTGTATTTATAAAGTTAATGCACTACGTGCAGTTTATATATATATTTTTTTGAATAGGGAGTTAATATTTGATGAAAGAGGAGCACACCATCTTGGTGCTATAAGAATAGGACACTCAAATATTCACGGTGAGAACCTTGG